TACTACGAACAGACCTGGCTTTTACATACACGTACATAACTAACTTATTTCAAACCGACAAACAAAAATTATCAAAAGCTTTGATCGTAAACCATTATGACAAATTAATTCACAAAAGAAATTTTTTATCAAAGACATAAAAGGATTTATCAAGAGACCTACACGTATGAGTGAACATAAAATGACTAAAGTCACAAACAACAAATTTTATTATCAAAAACATTGTTCTTCTCACTTAGTGCCTGACTAACCCTTTTCAAAGGAGGGCTCAATTTTGTCCATATGTTTTCTGTTCTTGACTGTTAATATATAAAATATGTTCTGTGTTAGACTTGACTAGACTGATGATAATATAACAGAGCAGCAGGTTGGCTTTGTATCGTGTCAGTTTAAATATAAATTGTTTATAGAAATCGAGTTTGTTATATCCAGCTACTGTTCTATGTAAGGGTGGAATATCAAGTACCATAACTAAAAGGGTGTAGGCCTAATGTAGTATACATCAACTTCCTTTCTCTGTGCAATGTGTGAAATATTTATAAAATATTACGAACATTATATTAATTTGACATATGCCATGTCATTTTGACTCGCATGTAATGAAAGAAAAAAAATTATATTAAACATACATTAGGCAAGAGCTAAATCTGCCTATTCCAGGTGTGTCTTTGGGCCTGAAATGTTTTCTAAATTATTAATTAGACATTAATTAGTCAACTCTAGACGCTATCGCTAGCCTGCGATATTTAGCGGATTGGAATACATTTGTTTTTTAAAAATTAAATGTTACAATGGATAATCGAGACTATGTTTTGTCGGTTCAGAGTGGAGCAATTTGACTGAAATTATCAGCATATTCTAATTACATTATATATTTTTTAACTATTAGGCTGACCTTAAAAATATCTTTGTTTCACCAAACCCGACCCACAATCGAGGAGAAGGGTTGGTAGGTCGGGGTTTTTTTTCAGATTTTTTTTTAAGAGCTAATTTGACAGCTTGATAATTTTCCGGGTGCAAACATTCGTCTTCTTTTAGCCTATTGTCAAACAAATCAATAACATCGGGATTTTTCGTGATGCACGACTCGCACACGAATTGCCAGAAACTGACGTTTGAAACTCCCTCAACACGTTTTTTAACGATCGTGCGGGTTGTGCCTTCATTTTTCTCGAAAACGGATATTCAATATCCGTTTTCGAGAAAAATAGAGGCAGAATCATTTCGTGGGAATGGACGTGCTTTCGTCTACAACCATTTTGTTGAGAAGCGACACCTATGATGCTTTAATCTTGATCAACCAGTTTCAATAATGAATCAAACCATAGCCATAGTAAAGGGAAATAACTCTCGTGATATATTTCAGGTTGACACACAAAATAAAATAAAAAGATCGCGGAAAAGTGCAATAAAATAATTTAAGTCGGGGGTGGTTTTAGTTAGTCGGTCGCGTTAGGCGAAACAAAGATATTTTTAAGGTCAGCCTTATATCGAGAACTATCAACCCTTTAATCTCCCATAATTCCCCTTTAATTAATAGTGGTTATACGAAGCCATATTGACCTACGTTAACGTTATTGTATTTGTCTATTGCATACATATTTGGATAGAGTAACTGTATTATTTCGTTATTTTATCTAGACCTTATGATCTTTATTTTGTAGATATAACTGATAATTACATATATATTTGGACAGTGTAGTATTTCACTTATTTCATTACTTACTGTACTGTGTATTTGGTTGGTTTTTTTTTATTGAAGATATATATTTCAATATAGATACATATATAAGTATTTGATAACAGTAGAGCATGTCTGAGCACATATCTGGGGAAAGGGGGGGGGGTCTAGTGGTTTATTTCAAGGTCTGTCATTGAAGCAAGTACTATGGTTTCGATTCCCTGATTGAACGTGACAAGGGATAAAGGGTCACACGTCCAACCTTATGGGTTTTCTCCGGGTTTTCTAGTAGGTTTCCTTCCACTGCTAAAGACACTTATGCAGAAGTAAATTGTTGAAATAATTGAACCATATGTTAGTCCCAAAATGAACAAGATTGTGTCGAATTTAAACCCCAATTTCTAAGATTCTGTAAGTTTAAACGAGAGACATATGCCCACAGATTTAACATGTGAACCTGAGAGAGAGAGAGAGAGAGAAAGAGAGAGAGAGAGATGGGGTTTAACGTCCACTCTCGACACAAACCAGGTCATTTCGGGACTAACATGGTTTAATTTTATTTCAATAATTCGCTTGCGCATAGGGTCTTTAGCAGTGGGAGGAAACCGGAGGACCTGGAGAAAACCCACGAGGTTGGACAGGCGACCCTACTCCTTGTCACGTACAACCGGGGATTCGAAACCACATGTGAACCTGAAATATACATGTAGATAAATACATGTAATGGATGCCACATTATGATGTACTGTATACGCATAATTGACCAGTTAATTAATGGCCAAAATTTCATAAGTTACTATATCTATGTTACATGTAGTAAGAAAGCATGTTTTGTATAATTTATCATTTCTCTCACAGCACATGGTATGCTCGTCTTCATTAGGTCTTTAGACATTAAACCACCCTAATCATTTCACTTTGTTACATAATGTACATGTATAGGTACAATCATCATTGTTATATGGACAATAACTAACTGACAGTTCACTACTACCAATATATGTACATGTATGATGCATCGTATGGTTGACATAATACAGACACCTTCTATCATCCATTATATACAACTCAATGACATTAATTATAAATCATAGCAGACAGTCAACAACTCAATATCAATGGATATTTTAACAGAATACTTTTATAGGAAATAATCACTGGTCATATTACACAATCCCTGAACACGATTTAGAGACAATTGATATGTTGCCAAACATATAGAATTAAAGGAGCTAAATCTGTGTTTTTTTGGCACCTAGAAATGGGAGAGAGAGTGAAATGAGGTTTTACGTCCACTCGACACAAACTAGGTCATTTCGGGACTAACATATGGTTCAATTTTATTTCCATAATTCGCTTGCGCGTAGGGGTCCTTAGCAGTGGGAGGAAACTGGAGGGCCTGGAGAAAACCCATGAGTGTTGGACGGGACCTAGATCTGGACACAAATGGGTCGCAACTTGCAACACATAATAATGTAATATGAATGTATATAAACCGCTTTACATTTACTAGGTCATTTTGGGACTAACATATGGTTCAACTGTATTTCAATAATTTGCTTACACGTAGGGGTCTTTAGCAGTGGGAGGAAACTGGAGGACCCGGAGAAAACCCACGATGTTGGACAGGCGGCCCTACTCCTTGTCACGTACAACCGGAGAATCAAAACCATGCCATTCAGCCATCCCCCCCCCCCCAAAACACTGTGGATGATATTGAGTTAAACACTTGGCTCCTTTATTCGCCCAACACTTGGAATGGAATTAATTATCATCCAAATTCATTTCAACAATTCCCCAGTGAGTAGGGTACATGTAGGTCTTTAGCAGTGGGAACACAAATTAGGTCATTTCGGGAGTAACACATGGTTCATTTTTATTTCAATAATTTGCTTGGACAGACGATCCTACTCCTTGTCAGTCACATACAAGCGGGGAATCGAAACCATGTCAGACGTTACGATCAAACATGCGTGCACGTTAACCATTGAGCCACCCAATCCCCCCGCTACTAGCAGTGGGAAGTAAATGAAATGAAATGGGGTTTAACGTCCTACTGTTCTGCTCCTAAACTGGGCTAATGAAGACGGTCATACGCCATACAGTGTGCTATGAGGGAAAGTTTGCCCGGGCAGCGGTGCTCAGCCTACTCTTAAATTGAATTCCAACTACCAAGGGATCTTTTACGTGCACGCCAATATGTACACGGGACCTCAGTTTTTTTCGTCCCATCCGAACGACTAGACAGCTGTCGTTATCAGGCCCTCTGTACTGCATCACTGACAAGGGGGAAACCACACCAGAAAATCGGGATGAACTTTCTCGGCCAATGCAGGGATCAAACACCTGACCTCCAGGCTAGCGAGCCAGCATCTTACCTACTTAGCCACCGTGATCCCCAGCATTGGGAAGAAACACAGGAGGTTTGGCAGGTGTCAGGTGATCTTACTAGCTGTCATTTACAACCTTGAGATCGAAGCCACAAGATCGAAGACTGTGTGATCTAAAGAACTTCGGGTGTGGATGATCCTCTGTTCTAACATGCATGTACTTTAGAACATAAGGTCTGTCATTGAGTCTAGTGGTGTGGTTTCAACACCAAACTTGTACGGGACCAGGAGTAGGGTCGTCCCATGGGTTTTCTTTGAGACATTCTGATTCCTCCCTGTGCTAAAGACAATTATAAGGGCATTTGAAATAAGTTAGTCCCCAAATGATCTGGATTGTGTCAAGTGGACATTAAACCCCATCTCTCTCTCTCGTCTCAATAACAGTATAGTGTTGGGAAAAGAAACTGAAGGACAGACTGTTAAAATGTTTTGATATAATATTGTACATGCACAACATGATGTCTAATAATATCCCAATATCTAGTGTCATTATGGCATTGTTGCCCCACCCTTTCTTGTATCACCTTAATAAATAACTGAGGGAGACAACTCTAGTCTAATGATTAAATCAAAACCTGTTGCTGTCAGATCTTCAACCCCTTTTACATCCAAGTTTATTGGAACTTTCGGGGTTCACCAGGCCTACATATTGCAATGGCACAACATGGTATTCAAAATATATATATATTTCAAAATAAAATAAAAGTCGTTTTATTTTTCGGCGTAGTTAAATCAAGAGCCAATATCGTCTGCTACATTCTGTACCGGTGAGTTTCAGTTAATCAGTGTCTTATTTACTTGCTACCACGATAGCTGGCTATAGATGTACCATAACCACACATACAGCCTAAAAAATAGGCCGAGTTCACCGGTCACAAACAACAAGTTTGGAACTGGGCACGATTTCAAAATAAAAAAATAAAATTTACCCGATCTAAGCATTTTAATTCTTCTGTCGGATAGACAGTTTTTTGGCACTTCGCACAAATCTTGTTCATTTTAGCGGATCCACTTTATTATCTCCTAATCCAAATTATATACTAATCCTTTTGACTCGTGAACTAACTAGGTAATACGTCAAATTTAAGTGGGACTCAACCTGAACGCCTAAGCGATCATCTATGTTAATAACGGAAGTATCTAAGTTTAGACGTAAAGTCCGCAGTACATACACGCCGTGTGCAAAATATTTTCTTTCCGGATAGTAAACGTTATCCAGTTCGTATATTTACATAGACTTGTTATACAGAGTAAATCCGTCCGTTTAATACAATCTACTGCCCTAGTTTGAAAACATTCAAACATAAACAGAAGTTATTAAAATTTTCTGTTTATTCTCAATAGACCCAAGAATTAACCCGCCAACCGTAAATTCGCAAACAAGATGTCAATAAATATGCAAATTTGACCAACATATAAAATCGGCGCTTTTCTTTGAAAGAGAAAATATCCAATTACTCGAAAATCTGGCCATAAAAGGAGTGCGATTGTAAATAAAGTTTATTATTAGAGATAAAAATGACAAATGTTTTAAACAAATGAAATTTTATATAACGAAAGTCATATAATAGTTAGAAAGGGTTATTTTGACATTTAATTTCATAAAATATCTAGTGTGTTTACGGGCAAAGGGATTCAGGGAACCTGCTTCCTGTTCATGCGCACAATCAACTTCCTTTTTAAAAACTAAACATGTCGAAGAGAGGTATGTCACTGAATTATTTTGTGACAAATCTATGCCAATCGGAGACACCGTTATGTTTTGGGATAAATCCAATACATATTGAGCACAACTTATTATATTTCTTTATAATAAAATACTTATTTAAGAATCATATCACGCCTGTTTCATCTAATTTCAATTTCAAAACATCCCCTGTCCTATTTTTTCGACAAATCTATTCGAATTGAACTTAAACCAAGAATTGTTCAACTTGAAATATTGCAGTGTCAACAACTAAAACAAGATTTTATATTCGGTCTGTAGTTATTGCTACTGATCGGGGGAGTTTTCTCCTTGCATTTTTATTGTATTGTTTGTAAACGACCTGTTATTACTGATCGTGATTGACGTGATAAAAAATAAGAAGCCATGTTAGATTTCACAGCCAGTGATAAGTGGTCCATTAACTCTAATCAGCATAGAATATGATCAGTATTCGCTAGACTTAAACAAAAAATGAAAATTCATGTCATGAGAACGAAGAAAATTATAAGTATAAGGTAGTCTACAGTCTACACAATGTTGATTCTTTTGCTCAGTTGATCTCAGTATGTTCGACAAAATCTTGTATCAGTTCATTGATTTTACTTTTCAATCGTCACTACAAGACTAGTCCTCTAAATTTACATGTTAGATCGGATGACGACACACCACAAATAACTAGAACTGACATTTTATAATAATGTAAATTATTTTGATTTCCAGGAAGAGGAGGATCGGCTGGAGGTAAATTCCGTATCTGTGCCTGTTTGCCGGTTGGTGCCATCATCAACTGTGCAGATAACTCTGGTGAGCTTCCCATTTTTAATCATAATTACATGTTCATGTATCCATACTTATTGCCCCAAAGATTAGTTACTTTAGTAACAGATTCTTATCGGCTATGACCTCTATCTGTTACTGGCTGATCCTATACACAATTATTTTAGTATTTATCAAAATAAGGCTTTTTCCCCCACCTCGGTTCTAATGCTATTTTGGAATCCTTACAGTCTATTTTTCACGTGATTCTTCTTGTTCACCTAAAGGAATCATTTCTTACCACATCTGACACAAATCCATAATAATCCATCACTATTTTCATGTAGAATTTAGTAATCCAAAAACACAAACAAGATTCATTTGAATTGATCCGCCTTGTGACAAGGAGTTGGGTCGCTTGTCTAACCTCATGGGTTTTCTACTAAAGTAACTACCCAAAGATGAGATATGTCACAGTATAGTTTTGCCAAGTAAATTTTGTAATTACCTGATCTATGTAGATCTCTAGGTTTGAAGACTGATCAGACGATAAATAAGAGGTTATATACGTTTCCAGCGTTAGGAATGGATGCTGGTTAAGTTGCATTGTTGTCATGGATGTCCAGACAGGTCTTTGGATTGGTAAACATCGGAATAACAAAACCACAACTGTTATGTCTAGCAATAGCCAAGGTTACTCACGTCATTAAACATGCATTATGCAAGAGCAAAATCTGCTTATTACAAGTCTTTCTTTAGGCCTGAAATGTTATCTAAATTATCAATTAGACATTAATTAACTTATCCAGACCATAATAAACTTTGATGTCAAGGCTAGCCTTCGATGTTGGCTGGATTAGATTCCTATATGCCGCTAACGGCCGTTGATAATTAAATCAATAAAAGTGGATAATCGAGACTAAGCTGTTTATATTAATGATTTTAGTAATGATGTCCGAGACTATGGCAAAATTTCACCCGCTTCTTTTTCGGCTCATAGTGGATCAATTTGACTGAAATTTTCAGCAAATTACCTTTACACTATCTAGTTTTTAACTATTATAGCGAGCACTGCCATCTCGTTATCTTATCTCCCATAATGTATCTTTAACTGAGCAAAAACTATAATTTTCTTCAGAATGACTTGATTATTATTGATTCAAATTTGTCTACATGACAATAGAGCATTTATATTTTTATTGGTTGATTAATTGTATGTTTATTTTTTTTTTTTTTAGGCGCCAAGAATTTGTACATCATGGCTGTAGCTGGAGTAGGTGGTCGTTTGAACAGATTACCTGCTGCTGGATGTGGTGACATGGTTGTAGCTACAGTTAAAAAAGGAAAACCAGAACTTAGGAAAAAAGGTTAATAAATATTACATTTATCATGAATTGAACCCGCGACCCCTGGCATGGAATCCATCAATCTCATTAAAACGTAGATCCTATTTCGTTTCGTTTTTTTATTCAAAATTTCATCTGGAAGAGTTGTTATATAACAGCCAATGAAACACACTGTTACGATTGCACGGAACTGTGGGTAAACCACCAGAAACGTCTGACGTCATAGGGTCAAAAGCTGTTCGTACGAGCTCTGACGTGACCTTCCACTTCATGTAGTGTAGGCCATCAAAAGTATAAAAAAAAACGAAACGAAATATAGATCTGTATTGTAATCAGATTGGGAATCCATACACCCCTAACGAGTTAGCCAAAGGGAATTCCCCACGATCAAGGAAGTAGATTTAAACACAGGAAAGAACAATCACACCACATCCCTGATATATACTATTCAAAAAAAGTAGGGGATATTTGATTTTTAAGTGTTATTAAAGTCACCTAATGAAACTGACGAAGAAACAAATGACAAAATGAAATGAAGTTCACATTCATTGATTTATTCCAAATGATCGTTAGACTAAGTAAGGCACAGACTGACCATTATAAGGGTAAAATGATACCCAGGGTCAAACGGCAAAGTTACTACAGCATCACAACCAAGTCAGTAACGGGGAAATTCTCCTCTGTTTGCCAAACAAGCATTGATCCGACGTGGCATACTCCTAATGAGACGTCTAAGGTCATTTTGGTCCAGATTGTCCCATTCCTGTTGCAACGCAGCAGCAAGTTCTTGGACATTGGCAGGACGTTGTTGACGTTGACGTAACCTCTGTCCAAGCATGTCCCAGACATGCTCGATGGGGGAGAGGTCGGGACTCAGTGCTGGCCAAGGTAATGTGGTGATGTTTTGTTGTTGGAGGTAACCTGTGACGATCCTGGCCCTGTGACATCTTGCGTTGTCATCCTGTAAGATGAAACGGCGGCCATGACGTCGTGCGAACGGCACAACATGGACTGCCAAGATGTTGTCCCGGTAGTACTGGCCTGTAACACGCCCTGCAACAACATGTAAAGCCGTTCTTCCAGCAACAGTGATGCCTCCCCACACCATAACAGAACCACCCCCAAATTGATCATGTCTGATGACGTTAACGTCTTGGAAGCGCTCGTTTCGACGACGCCACACCCTCCTACGTCTGTCCAAAAAATCAACAGTGAACCTTGACTCATCTGAAAACATCACATTGCTCCAGCGTCGATTATCCCAGTGTTGACGATCCCTACACCAACGACGTCTTGCCTGAATGTGATGATCTCTCAAACAAGGGATCACGCGAGGACGTCGGGCGCGAAGGTGACCCCTTTGCAGTCGATTCCGAATCGTCTGGCCACTCACTCTCACACCAGTGTCTGTTTGAAGACGAGCGCTGATCTGATTTGCTGTGATGACACGATTTCTCAAGGCCAAGGTACGGATAAATCGATCCTGGGCTTGAGTTGTCGCCCTTGGTCGAGCTGAGCGTGGTCTGTCCTGTACAGATTGTGTATCACGGTATCTGGACCATAGCCTGCTTATGACAGACTGAGAAACATTCATCGTCCGCGCCACAACCGCCTGTGTTGTGCCGATCTGTAGCATGCCAAGGGCACGTAACCTTTCATTTTGGGTAAGCCGACGCATATCAAAATTTGTTTTCTGGTCACTAAAACAATTAAACTGATGTTTCCACCCTGGAATTCAATGCCACAATGACTGTAACATTCAAAGTCAGAGTCGTGCAAATCTTGGGTTGGACCCCCATGATGATCCCAAGCATCACCTGCATTCCATGCGGTAGCTATTGGTGCGTTTGGGCGTCACATGTAACTGGAAATGTTTCTTCTGTTAGGTTCTATACTGACTTTTTTCGTAGTCATTTGCATATTTTAGTATTATGCCCCCAAAATCAAATATCCCCTACTTTTTTTGAATAGTATATATTGAATTAAACATACACTATGCAAGAGCTAAATCTGTCTATTGCAGGTCGTTCTTTATGTCTGAAATGTTATATAAATTATAAATTAGACATTAACTAACTTATCCAGACCATAATCAACCATAATCAACTCTTGATGCCATTGGAGTGGTTCGATTTTAAGTAGATTAGAATGGTTCAGCCATTTAATGATTTAATTTAAAAATGGTGAAGCAAGACTTAGCCTTGAACAACCAGTACTGTGGTTTTAATCAGTGCACACATCTTGTCAAACCTTCAAAGGCTAATATCGTCGCCCAGAATAAAGGAGCAATTTGAACATCATTTCAATTGTTCTCAGAGCTAGCCAACATGTAGTTAGACTCGGAGCCTAGCTGTACAGAGCTAGCCAACATGTAGCTGGAAACAATTTTACGAAATCACTTTCAACCCCTGTTTGAGCCTTCGCTCTTGATCAGTCTGGTGCTGAACTAGCCAACATGTAACTGGACTTTGTCAAACTGATGAATAATATCTTTACATTTCAGTAATGCCAGCTGTTATTGTACGACAGAGGAAACCATTTTTACGAAAAGATGGTGTTTTTATATATTTTGAAGACAATGCAGGTGTTATAGTCAATCCAAAAGGAGAAATGAAAGGTAGATTAAATTTTCAAATTATCTCCCTTTACACATCCAATATTTTTATATATACCTTGGTCAAATTATCTCCCTTTACACATCCAATGTTTTTATACATACCTTGGTCAAATTACCCAATGTTTTATGCTGTTGGGTGCCAAAACGAGGTTAGATTATTTCTGGACGAAGCAGATAACGGGAGAACTGTTTTTCCTGTTATAAGTATCTTTCAGGACAGATTTTTATTCAACCTTGTGTGGAAATGAAATGAAATGAAATGAAATGGGTTTTAACGTCCTGTTGTGCTCCGCACTGGGCTAATGAAGACGGACATACACCATACATAAGGTTTGAGAGAGAGGAATGGGGTTTAGCGTCCACTCAACACAAACTAGGAGATTTTCTGATTAACTTCAATTTTATTTCAATAATTTGAAACTTAGATTTTCTGACTAATATATGCTTCAATTTTATTTCAATAAGACCCCTACGCGCAAGAGAATTATTGAAATAAAATTGAACCATATGTTAAGTCACGAAATGATCTAGTTTGTGACGAGTGGACGTTAAACCCATCTCTCAATCTCGCTCTCTATGCAGGTTGATTATGATAAATTTGAGGATGGATGGTCCGATCTTTATAATTGTCAGTGGTCTAACAGATGTGCTTTAGATCATCAATCTGTCAAGTGGCGTCATTGTAATTCCCACATTTAACCAGTCTTCATTAGCCCAGTCGGAACGTAACAGAACAGTAGGATGTTAAACCCCATTTCATTTTATTTTCCCACGCTTGTATGTAACAAGGAAAGGGTTGCCTGGCCAACATGTCCTCTGGTTTCCACTCCTGCAAAATTAGTGAAATAATATTAAACCATTTGTTAATCCTGAAATGACCTAGTTTGTGTCGAATGGAAGTTACTCTCTCTTCTCTCCACACAATATTTTGTCATAGTAAAACAGAACTCGGGAGTACATGCCATTTGTCTTGGTTGTGAATAAGAAATGTACCTTGGTCAAATTACCCGAAATGTTTTATACAAATTGGGTGCCAAAACAAGGTTAGAGAAATTCTGGCTGAAAGCAGATGACTATGGAATTATTCTTCAGTCATAAGATTTCCCAGGTACAAATTTTAGTGTTGGAATAATAGAATTTAGTACAAAACCCCCTATATAGATTTACAAATTTTTTTGATTGAGAAAAAGATTGCCTTCACCATGTAATGTTCACCGTTTGTTGTTCAAACTAATAGTAGATTTTAATCCATGATGAATTGTTGTTTTTCAGGTTCTGCTATAACTGGACCCATCTCTAAAGAATGTGCTGATCTATGGCCCCGTATTGCGTCAAACGCCAGCTCTATCTCCTAAAACAGATGTACAGAAAATAAAAAAATATAAAATACCCAAACTGTCAGCCTTAAATTTCTCTATTTACTATCTGATGTTTACTAAATTTGGTTGGGGATCACGGTGGCTAAGTGGGTAAGACGTTGGCTCACTAGCCTGGAGGTCGGGTGTTTGATCCCTGCATTGGCCTAGAAAGTTCATCCAGATTTTCCGGCGTGGTTCCCCCTTGTCAGTGATGCAGGACGGAGGGCCTGACAAGGACAGCTGTCTAGTTGTTCGGATGGGACAAAAAAACGAGGCCCCGTGTACACATTTGCGTGCACATAAAAGATCCCTTGACAGTTGGAATTTGATTAAAGAGTAGGCTGTAGTACTGCTGACCGGGCAAAATTTCCTTCATAGCACACTGTATGGAGTATGCCCAGTATAGGAGCAGAACAGTAGGACGTTAAACTCCCATTTCATTTCTAAATTTGGTAATGATCCTTTTACCTTAAAAAAAAAATTGTAACTATCGTTTTAATGAGCTTCAAGAAATTCTGTTAAACTCTGTGAAAGGGGAGATTACTCCAAAACGATGGTAGCAAAATGCTAAATTTGATTGGGCTGGTCCTATGGCCCTACTTCATTCATTCTAAATATGCAAAAAAAAAACCCTCAAATTTGTTGAAAAGTCAGCTGTAGCCATTATAAAGTTGACAAGGTTATTACAAAAGAGGGGTAACTCCGGAACAATTTCGCAGAACACTGAATATAGTTGGAGTTTGTCACTTCCAGACCTCCCTCCATAAGTCACACCAAATTTAAAAAAAAAACTTTGAAAAACTAGTCCCTACTGAATTCACAATTTTTTTTAGAAATTTTGTAAAAGTATAGCCTCTATGCATTCACAAGCTGTATTCTCCAAATAATACTTGTGAAATAGTCTTTTGGACTTCTTATATTTCATTTTGTTAACCAAGGCTATGATATTTTGAACACTATATATAACTGCTTCAGGGGGGTTGGATGGCCGAATGGTTAGCACGTGCGTGCTGTATCATAAAGGACAACATTGGTGTCAGTCATTATTACATATGTGATAGAACTGGTTAAATACATTCCAAATATAATTTTAACACAGAGATCATTGCTACGGGAGACTTGTAACAAGCACGGGAAGTGATGCCAAACATGACAAACATGAGTTGTCCTTCTATATAACAGACTGAAGTAACGAGCGCTAACAGACAAACGATCAAATTTCATTTCACTGATAATTCCGTTGAAGTTGAAAAGTTATTATATGGGGCGGTGAGAGGGTATCTCACAATTCAAAAGGCCTGTCATTGAGTCAACTGGCGTGGTTTCGAATCCCCGGTTGTATGTGACAAGGAGTAGGGTCGCCTGTCCAACCTCGTGGGTTTTCTGCGGGTCCTACGGTTTCTTCCTACTGCTAAAGACACCTACGCGCAAGTAATTTATTGAAATAGAAACATTAAACCATATGTTGGTCCCAAAATTACCTAGTCTGTGTCGAGTGGACGTTAAACCCCATTTCTCTCTCTCTATAACTGCATCAAATTGAGAGAGGGTGACGAATGTAATAATAATCAAGGTCATATTAAATCACTGGCAACCGGGTATAGTTAAGTTACCTTTACAGCTGGAACAGGAGTAAGAAAAGGCTGTAGTGTAAAATGTCCCACATGTCGGGATGTAGGGGGAATGACTCCTAATTCACCCCAGGCCCTCCATTGGGTTAATCCAGTCCCAAGTACAACCTGTGGTGTTCAGTTGTGGACGACTGATTTCATTCAGGAACAGTTCATTCTCTTGACAAACGAACTGCATGAGATAAAATGAAATGGGTTTTAACGTCCTACTGTTCTGCTCCGACTGGGTTAGTGAAGACGGGCATACGCTATACTGTGTGCTATGAGTGAAATTTTGCCCAGACAGCGGCGCTATGGCCTACTCTTACATCGAATTCCAACTGCCTAGAGTTCTTTTATGTGTACACGGGACCTCGGTTTTCTATCCCATCCGAACAACTAGACAGCTGTCCTAGTCAAACCCTCCGTCTTGCATCACTGACAAGGGGAAACCATGCCGGATACACAAGAAGAGAAAGCCGATTAGACCATGTACATGTATGGTGCTAGCACCATGGTGTTAAAATAAGCCCAACAAATAAAATATATTTTATTAAATCATTTGATAACAATTGTAAAGTAAAACATTAACAATTTGCTATAATTATATATAATTAACAATTACAGACTTCGGACCACTCAGATATAGGTAAAAATAAAAGGATTTTTTATCGACTGACAAATCGATTTGTATTTAGTAGATATGGCATGTGACAGTAAAGTCGATGTCAAAGTACTTGTATGAGTTTGTTTAATGCGCTAGTTGAAAAAAACACATGATCACCCAAAGAATCGTCAAATCGCACCTAGAGGTGATTTGGCGAATTGTGGTAATTCGATGTCGATGAATTCTTTGGTTAGGGTAACCAACTTGAATAAGATGGACATTGATCGAAATATTATTTATTCTAAATAAGGTCTTAGACAAACTGATAATCATACGACCCAACATTATTTAACCCTGGATATTAAAAATATCTTACAGCCAATCAAATGTGGATACAGATACACACCCCTCCTGACTAGGTACATGCTGATTTTGTCTGTTTAAAGTAATTAGGTTATTCCTACAACGATTAGTTCAGATTCATTCAGTTTAAGCCTTCATTAATCAACGTATTAATTCCCCTGCTTTTTGTATGTTTGAACTGTTAAGTAATTAAATGGGCAGAGCTGGTTATTCCCACACAATCAGCTTGATTCAATCATTTCTAATTCATCTTATGAAAATAATCAATGCATCAATTTTAACAATATCAACACTTTTTTTTAAACATTATTATTATTAAGATTGGGGAATAGGATTAGCCTAGAATTACCCCCCCCCCTCCCTTTGCCTATTTCAACCCAATTTTATCAATGGATACCCATTTACCCTGTGAAATCCAGTAATGGCTGATATTAAACATTATGTAAGAACTAAATCTGGATATTGCAGGTTTTTCTTTTGGCTTATATAAACTATTATTTAGACATTTATTCACATGACAAGCCTATAATCAACTCTCTAGACCATCGGATGGTGGAGATTTAAACGGATTAAAACACCTGCAAGATTAAAAAATTGAACAATAAAATGGATAATCGAGGTTAAGTCTAGGTTGTCAAGTATGGTTGGTAGGATAATAAAAGATCAACTCTAAATCTTCAAATAGTCATAACTTTGCCCATAATAAAATAATATGAATAAAATTTTCAATACATTCATTTTGATTTATCTATTTTTAAAATATTATAGCAAGATCTGTCAGCGCTTTGTCTAAATCTTACATTATACATTTTTAATGAGTGTATAAAGGTGAGAAAATTAAAACAAGAACAAAAAATCAATTGATACCCTGTAAAATCCTGTTGCACCTTATTTTTTATATTTTATTCAATCTGATTAAAATACATCTATATTTCGTTTCGTTTTTTTTATACTTTCGATGGCCTACACGGCATAAAGATCTGACCGGTTGTAGTGGAAGTTTGTGTCAGGGGTCATACAATTTCATTAATCAATCAGCAGTGATGTTTCTAGAGGGATACCCACAATTCCGTCCGTGCACCTCACACCAAAAACTCGCTGTAACAAACCATTTCATTAGCTAATCCCTTACATCATCCAGAACTCGCATTATATAACAACTTTTCCAGATCCTAGTGTAGTAAAGAGAAGTAAAACGAAATTTTGAACTATAAAAAAACGAAACAAAATAGGGTCTGTGTTTCAATTAGATTGTATTTTATTATGAGGTAAAGTGTTTAAATCAGTTTAAGGTTATAATCTTTAAGTGGCAGTTTAAGGTTAGTATAGTTGGGAATAGGGTCCTGGGCCCTGTTTCTCGAAATCTTAACTAAAGATAAAATCCAAATTTTAGTAGATACTTCAATTTTGATTGACTAAGCACTAGAATCAATCTAACTTTATCCAATCAAATTACTAAAATGTGGATTTTATTTTAGTTAAAGTTTCGTGAAACAGGCCCCAGGTCTCTTCCAGGAATGTCCAGGAACAAAAGTTTAAGGAGAGTAAAGTTTAGGTTGAGAATAGGGTCCTGGTCTCTTCCAGTAATCTATGGCTCGAACAGCATAATACCCTTTCACCAAATCATCACCACTTGTACCTGGAAATATAAAATAATACTTTTCATCCACACAGCGCATTAAAGTTGTATGGGGCTCCTGGCTGTAGTTCAAACAGAGGCCTATCCATTCAAATTATTACTACAGATAACAATCTGTTAAATTTAGTGACTTTTTGTGAAAATACATTGATTGCAACTCTACCCCTCTAACTTCAAAAATCTACAATAATTTTGAATAAATTAAAGTTACCATTTTGTGGAAGAGGTGATATAACAGATATGGTTGCTATGGTATCCACATTGTTTACACGTTGGAATGGTCCAGTACTGTTGTTAGGTGAGTAGCCAACTTCATAGGTGTAAATACATCTGAAATATATAAATTCAAATATTCTCACGGCTTAATCAATGCTAAAATCTACTCATAATAATACAGTGGTCTCATTCCGTTCTACTCCACAAGCCCCTGGTTTAATCTATGGGAGAGCGGGGTCCATGTTTTCAAGTTATCTGCCCTTGATGGTTGTGCTATTTATATCGACAAATCCCATAAATCGTTAATTGCAAAGGAAAATGGAAGTAACTCTCATCAAGTAAAGTAAGCAAAACGCAAAGGCCCCCACTTCAAGAGACAAGGTTAGGAATTAGCCAGAAACAGGGCCGTAACTAGCTCAGAGCAACAAGGGGGGGGGGGGGCGGGAAGTGTTCTCAGGGGGGCTGTAATATTGACGGACAGTGTGTATCCATTTTTTTATGGTCAAGAATTTTTCACGGGGGGGGGGGGTGAAACTTTTTGAAGGGGGGGGGGGGGCGGCCTGGCCAGAAGGTAGCCTAAATGAGAGAAGTCCAAATTATACTAAATGCATATTTATTAAAGATACATTAGTTAAGAGTTTTACAAAGAGTTGGCTTGCTATAATAATTCAATAATAGATGATAAAAAAAGAAAACGGAATTGTCACTGTTGGAAGTTTGGACTAGAAATAGGCATCAATTGTGTCTGCACCATCTATGAGAATTGGCGATCGTTTGATTGACAGACGATAACTCCACCCACATTTTCTCAATTATCAAGTAACATGCTCAATGGCTATGGTAGCCTTGCTTGGCAGGCCTTTCATCACCAGTTTCCGGTAGTGACATCAGCGACTAACGGTCCGCCATTTATTGATTTAATTTTAAATGGACGACTGTTTAATTCCAAACTGTATCCAAGCCAGACTTACTTTGATTTGATATTTTCATCTGACCATATAACTAGAACTTGTCCTACTGTTATAGTCATAAACCGTAAGCCAGTTACCTGAAATATATTTATTTTAATGTAACATTATTGTCTCTATGAGGTTTCCTGGGTTCAGGTATATGAATACAATTGGAGAGAGAGAAAGGAATGGGGTTTAACGTCCACTTGTCAGTGATAGGAAGAAGGATCTGTTAAGGGATCTTTTACGTGCAAGCCAATGAGTACACAGGTGGAGCTAGGATTTTCATGCCCTTTAAACAACTAGACATAGACCCTGAAGGTGCCACCCATAGCAACTGACAAATGAGGTTGGACAACCTTAAGGTTTTCTGCATCTATGCAGGGCTTTGAACCGGGAACATTCTAGTTGAGAGGTCAGTGTTCTAACTGATTGGGAACTGCGACCCCTAATAATAAATGACATCATGTTTAAAGTACAGTATATCCAGGTCTGGATTGACCTACTAGTAGACCCTAGGTCAAACCCTTCTGGGTTACCCAGTTTACACTGGAAACAACGTTATATACACTGGCAGACAGCACGACAAATTAGTTTCATTTGGCCACTAGATACCCTAGGCCAATGGCCTGATATGACAAAATTCAGTCCTAAAATTATATAAGAGAGAGATATTGGGTTTAAAGTCCATTCCAGACAAACTAGGTCATTTCAGGACTAACATATGATTCAATTTTATTTCAATAATTTGCTGCACGTAGGGGTCTTTAGCAGTGGGAGGAAACTGAAGGAAATACACAAGTTTGGACAAGCAACCCTATGACAGACCAATGTGCCCCCCACACTTAATGCTAGCTTCCCACTATCACGATTCGAACTACGATTGAAACCGTGGTTTTAATCGTGGAGTAATCATGGTGATCCTATCAGGTCTTATCATATATAGAGGTCAGTCGTAGCAATCGTGTTGATTGCATAGAAACGTATCCGTACGAAGCAGATCGTGGACTCAACAGTGACAATCACGATTCATGCTATGATATCGTATATTGAGGTCAGTTGTACCAATCATGTTGATCGTATCGAAATGTATCCGAACGGATTTTCACGTACCAGATCGTGGACTCAATAGGAACAATCCTATTGTAACACATTGCACGACAGTGGGAACCTAGCATTGACAATAAGGGATAGAGAGAGAGAGAGAGAGAGAGAGAGAGAGAGATGGGTTTAATATCCACTCGACACAAAGTAGGTCATTTCGGAGAAAAACCCAAGAGGTTGGGCAGGAGACCCTACTCCTTGTCACGTACAACCGGGCATTCGAAACCACGCCAGTTGACTCAATGACAGACCTTATGATACAGCACGCACGTGCTAACTATTCGGCCATCCAATCCCCCGTACCATCCAAAGGACTAGACACTGTCTTATAAGGTGATAAAGGGATAATGAATATCAACTGTCAAGGGGGTAACTACCATAACTCTAGGTATATTAGACAAACTATTAAAATGAATGCTATTTGGGACCTTATGATACAGCGCGCACATGCTAAATATGGATACAATCGTGACAAGAGACCTGTTCTGGTACTGCTACAGGTTTAGCACACAGATGAAGAAGAGTTGCTTCTGGTTGTAAGATCTGCCATCTTGGTGGAAGTATAACCTTCCCAGGTCCTGGTTTTACTGGTTGGTAAGCAACTCGTCCCACACCCTGAAATATTCAGTTGATATATCAATTCAATATTCTGCCCAAAACACATACCTGTTCCGGTAGTGATGGTGATTGGGCACAGATGTGAAGTAAAACAGCATCAGGTTGGAGGATCTGGAATCCTGGTGGAATCGGGACATGTTGTGGACCAGGTATAAGGGGTATTACAGAGAAACGAGGGTTTGCCTGAAAAAATAACAATGATGAGGCAGATTATAATAAGCTCTGTAAAGAACCAGTTGAAAAGCTACAAATTATGACCACATTCTCAAGTAATTTCTAATCCATCAGAAGCACCACAGAAGAGTGGACGGAGTGTGCTATCGACAATGTCAAGCGGTGAATCTGATCCTTGTCATGAGACCCACAAACCTACAACTTGCATAGATGACAGACTCATCCCAACCCATCCACCGACACACCCGACAGTGGCCAGCATAGCAGCCAAGCTCATTTGTTTTGTGATCAGTCGATGAGCAGTATAAGTTATAAGTTATAAGATATGATGTACTTGCCTCTTGTATTCTGAGAAATTGAAACTGTTTTGGTGTAGGATAATCTGTTTTATTATATAAACCTGTCCATACTCCATACGGATCATTGGATAAACCACTTACAATATACCCCACTAACATCAACTCTACAAAATATATCTCACATCAGTACAACTCTACAATATAAAATATATCAGTACAACTCTACAATATATCATATATCAGTACAACTATTACAATATATCATATATCAGTACAACTATATACGATATATCAGTACAACTCTATACAATATATCAGTACAACTCTATAATATATCATACATCAGTATAACTCTATAATATATCATATATCAGTACAACTATACAATATATCATATATCAGTACAACTATACAATATATCATATATCAGTACAACTATACACAATATATCATATATCAGTACAACTATACAATATATCAGTACAACTCTACAATATATCAGTACAACTATTATAAATTAAAGCTTCACTATATTACTGTTGTTGGTGCCCTAAATATGAAAACACAGTACTCATTTGATGCTGGTGAAATGTGATTCTGGTATATTTACGACACAAGAAAGTCGTTAAGATGATGTAACACATGTACCTTGTGTAGGATCTGGTGGATTAATATACCAATCTAAATCTAACTCTCCATAACTAGTACCATGATTCGAATCATCACTATCGTATATTAATAACGACATCTGCCAACTAAAAATAGAATTAAATGGGGTTTAAATCCAACAAGGTAAATAAAGACAAGTTTGTGTTATAGGGGGATGGGGAGTGGGAAACTGTTTGTCCCGAAAACAGCATTTTATGCCCGGTTCCCACTGTCATACGATGCGTTACAATAGGATTGTCCCAACTGAGTCCACGATCTGCTATGTTCAGATACGTTTCGATATGATCAACACGACTGCTACAATTGACCTCTCTATATATGATAAGACCTGATAGGATCACCACGATTACTCCACCATTAAAACCACGATTTCAATTGTAGCACGAATCGTGATAGTGGGAACCTAGAATTACCCACTCTTCATCGAATTCCAACTGTCGGTGTTTCATTTAAAACAAGGATGTTAGTTTATTGTACCATCCAAAGGACTAGACACTGTTTTGGGTGATAAAGGGTTAATGAATATCAATTGTCAATGATGCTACTGATTCATTGGGGGTAACTACCATAATTCTAAAATATTAGAATCAATGCAATTAGTGATAGGTCACAATAACGAAATTACTATTGTGCTGAAATGAATGAAATGGGGTTTAAAGTAGCCAAGTCTGTAACTCAATATCATCCAAAGTCGTTGACATTGCAAACGCGACTTACTGGTCAATTTAAATCAACATTGATGTTGTGATCTTATCACGGAAAAGATGGGCATGGGCTTCTGATATCCAATATTTAAGACAAAATAAATATTTTACCATTGGTACACAAATCGTGTACCATAATACGTTTCAGCGCCATTTGTAACAAGGTGCTCAAAGAACGATCCTAGACATATTCCACAAGTCATGTCAAATGGTGACGTAATATTCTTATCTGGAGAGCATGCGCAATAAATACTATCGGTGTAGACTGGAATAACCAGACACTAGAGATTGCCATTTGATTGAGATTTCTGGCGTATTTCCCTGAACATAACCGATTTGAAATTATAGAGTAAAAACAGAAACGATTGAATGTAAATCAGTTTATATACATTCATATTACATTATTATATGCGTTGTGACCTATTGTGTTCATTTCTGGGTCCCAAATATTAGCAATTTAGCTTGTTTAACATTTTACAGAATTCTATTGAATATTTTAACAGTGTAATTGTATTTACCTGTCTGATGTTGTATTATCACCAGGTATATGTATAGTAGCTAACGCTCCAGTTTCTGTATCATTTCTGATTGCTTTATCTGAGTGTAAAATGGAAAAATGCCTACACAGTGTTTGTCATGTAAGGGGGATAATCAATTTCAGGGGCAAATAAGTAGTCTGAACCAGCTTCCAAATTGTTCCACAAATATAGTAAAAACAAGGAAAGCACCTTCTACTCCATGTCCGTTTCTCTTTTAATTTCTCAAATCACCAAGAGAACAGTCAAAGAGAAATGGGGTTTAACGTCCTACTTTTCTGCACGGCGAATGAGAGAGAGAGAGAGAGATACAGGGTTTAACATCCACTCGACACAAATTCATTTCGGACTAACACATGGTTCAATTTTATTTCAATAAATCAATAAATCGCTTTCGAGTAGGGATCTTTAGCAGTGGGAGGAAACTGGAGGACCCGGAGAACACCCATGAGGTTGGACAGGCGACCCTATTCCTTGTCACATACAACCTCTGAATCGAAACCACGCCAGTTGGCTCAATGAAAGACATTATGATACAACGCGCACATGCTAACCATTCGGCCATCCACCTCCCATCTTGGCAAATAAAGATGGGCATTTACCATGCAGTCTTTTATGTTGGAGATTTTCGATGGACAGCTATTCATTCTAGTCTTTCAAGACATCTTTTACATGCACGCTAACATTTACGTAAGACCTTAGTTTTTCTCATCCTTAAGACCAGAACTTCCGTCCTGCAGCAGTGTCAATAGTGATAAATTTCTCGGTCAACACAAGGATCGAACCCATACCTTCCTGGTTAATGAGCCAGCACCTTACTCACTGAGCCACCGTGGCTCCTCCCACAATCTAAATATAGATTAAACTTACCACTACCAGTACCAACAAAAACCTGTTGATCTCCTAATAAGGACAACATGCACAGAGTACCATATATAGGTTTCTGTATAAATGTTGTGTATGGTACTTTGGTATTATTCATCTGAAATCTGGCCAGTAGGGTGCGCTGTGTAAACTGATGTGGGTAGTAACTAAGGAATCCATTGTCGTAACTAAGTAACTGATAATTTATAGGATTGGCAGGATTTGCAATGAAAATATTCTGATGTTGTGCAATAATCTGAAATAAAAGTGGGAAGAGGATAAAATAATATGTAGCCTAGTCAATCTCGTGGTCGAGACTAACATATGGTTCAATTTTATTTCAATAATTCACTTGTACATATGGGTCTTTAGCAGTGGGAGGAAACCGGAGGACCCACAGAAAACCCACGAGGTTGGACAGGCGACCCTACTTCTTGTCACGTACAACCGGGGAATTGAAACCACGCCAGTTGACTCAATGACAAACCTTATGATACAGCGCATACGCACTAACTATTCGGCCATCCAAACCCCCTAATACATTAAGTTCATAAGGTTTGTCATTGAGTCAAGCGGTGTGGCTTTTATCCCCAGCTGGTACCTCATAAGTTGTCTTAAATTTGCAATTTAGATGATAAGATGTGCAATTGAGTCAAGTGGTGAGATGGCTATAAGAAGCTTGACAGGGAGTAGGATCGCTATCCAACCTCTGGTCCTCCGGTTTCCTCTCACAGCATGGATGTACCATATGTTAGTCTCAAAACAAGTCATAATAAAGAGTAATTAGACAAATACCTTGACAGCCATAGCACCATATATGGCATCAGCTCTCCATGGTAAATCTTTACTCCATCCCACCATAGGATCAGATTCGCTATGTGTATAAATAAATAAATAAATTCTTTCAATCCACAATTTAACCCTATTTTATAGGCGGATGGTAGGTGGCTCAGTGAGTAAGATGGCTCGCTAAGCTTGAGATCCTGTGTTCGATCCCTGTGTTGACCGAGAAAGTTCGTCAGGATTTTTTCCGGCGTGGTTTCCCCTTGTCAGTGATGCAGAACGGAGGGTGTAATAGTATTAGTTCTTTAATCAGGTTCAGATGACAAGACTAGTTTAACATCTTATAATATCTTTATTCTCTGCTTCTTCTAACATATTATGTACAAAAGTTAAAGACTCCATAACTAACTTGTATTAAGGGAGCCATATCCTAGCTTGGCTAGGCACGAGTGTGCCAACTCCAATACGCTTTCCTAATTCCGTCTCGTCTGTGCCAAGGCGCCCATGGCCTCCGCTCTCGTGTCCGTCCGGACCTCTCTGTCTGTTTGTTTGTTAATCTGGGTTTATAAACCATTCCAGACAAAGGAATCTTATTAGACATCTGGCTGATGTATCATGTATCATATCACGTTTAACATTTGCTTATCATCAAAGAAAGTTTAAATAAGACATGCCATCAAGGTAAGGTTACATAATCACATAGACCAAGAACTCCAGGCATGTCGATAGTGAACAGGTGTCAAGTTGGCAGGAAGCGTCTTTAACATCAGATAATCTGCAATTATGTAACAAGGGCCTGGCAAGAGACAATGTATAGTTGTTCGGATGGGCTCAAAAAACAACGTCCCTTGAACAACACTGGCACTTTTATAGCCTCACTCCATACTACTATACAAGTATGCACCTCAACGAGCAGAAATATTGTCTATCTTCTTCTGATTTGATCAAATTCCCGAGTAACCCCCAGACTTTACACCAAACTTGACGTCTCCACACTAGACCACCTGCATGGAGGAGAAATATTGTAAAAATAATTTGCTTTTTTTAGAATTTCTTTCTTAAAAAATTTGATTTAATGGTATATAGTTTACTTACTCATTATAGAAAGGTTTTTTGGCTAACGTAGGATATTTATCACTAATTACTTTCATTGAGGCTACTTCCTCCAATAAAATATTCATTGATATACCATTACCCTGCAAATAAAACGTAGGATCAACAACAACGAAAACTAACAAACACTGTACGAGTGGGGAGTCGTCGTGGGTCAGTCAGTGAGCTGTAGGTTCAACCCCGGTGTTGGCTAAGAAAATGAAATAAAATGGGGTTTATCGTCCTACTGGTTCTGCTCCAACTGGGCTAATGAAGACGGGCTACCCATACAGTGTGCTATGAGGGACATTTTGCCCGGGCAGTGGCATTATGGCCTACTCTTATATTGAATTCCAACTGCCAAGGGATCTTTTACGCGCACACCAAATGTATACATGGGACCTTGTTTTTTTTGTCCAATCCGAACGACTAGACAGCTGTCCTTGTCAGGTTCTCCGTCCTGCACCACTGACAAGGGGAAACCACGGTTGTACGTGACAAGCAGTAGGGTCGTCTGTCCAACCTTCACAAAGGGAGGTAATCTGATGAACTACACTTGGTGGGAGAGAGGTACCTTTTTTTTGTAGTGAAATAATGGGAGGAAATCCTGTCTAAACTCGAGAGCAGCGACGTACCTTTCTATGCAGTGAAATAAAATCCATTCTAACTCCCGTTTCTCCTGTAAAATAATTTTTACCATTGACCACATGGTTGAGTATAAACTCGTCGTATTTTCCATGATGACCAGATTTTAACAGTATATCATCACATCCCGCTCCTGGGCCACCAAAAATAAGGTCACGGTTTGTGGCCATTAACCCTTCACTGGTTGCATCGTAATAGTTGGCAAAACCTGTAAAATATTTTATAGTCTTGAAAAAGGAAAAGGATATTTAATGTTTTGAGATATTAAAATTTGAAAATTAACCTGTGTATGTGTAAAACTGACTCGTGTACATGTAAAAATTGACTTGTGTACATGTGAAAATCGACCAGAAACATGTAAAAATCGACCTGTGTACATGTAAAAAATCGACCTGTGTACATGTGAAAATCAACCTGTGTATTGTGAAAATCAACCAGTGCATAAGTAAAATCGATCAGTGTACTTGTGAAATCAACTGTGTATTTGTGAAAATCTAACTGTGTATTTGTGAAAATCTACCTGTGTATTTGTGAAAATTGATGTGTGTACATGTGAAAATTGATGTGTGTGTGTGTGTGTACATGTGTGTACTGTAAAAATTGATTTTTAAAGGATGTATAATACCTTGAAGTGTTATATTCATATCAAAATCCTGACAATTAGGTTCATTCCAATTCTCAAAATTCCATGTTTTAACATAATCCAAACCAAACATCTCTAAAATAGATATATATATTCTTTGATTGGCATTTAGTAATTGAACATATTAACACAAGGTACAATTTTATGGATATACAATTCATGAGTTTGATACTATGGGCAAATATATACAGAATATGCAAGAAAGATAATAATCAAATGCAATTAAAGCTGCCCACAATTCACATATTTGTATCATTTGTTTGATAAAGATGAGAGTATCCTCGTCAAAACGTTGCTTAGTATTAAACTCAGTAATTGTGTATCCATAAAATTGTACCTTGTGTTAGATATATATAACTTTTAAAAAAATAAAAATATTGACTACATCCATGTAGTATTTTGAATTCCAAATGCCAAGGGATCTTTTACGTTGATGTCAATGTGTACACGGTTCAACTGCACGTACAGGACCTTGGTTACAGGCAGTTTGTGATGGTCTACTAGAGCCCTAGTATACGTACAGTTTGTGATGGTCTACAGGAGCCCTAGCTACATACAGTCTGTGGTGGTCTAAGGGAGCCCTAGTTACGGGCAGTTTATGATGGTCTACAGGAGTCCTAGTTACAGGCAGTTTGTGATGGTCTACCTACGGGGGTCCCAGTTGCAGGTAGTTTCTGATGGTCTACGGAAGCCCAAGTTTCAGGCAGTTTGTGATGGTCTACGGGAGTCCCAGTTTCAGGCAGTTTGTGATGGTCTACGGGAGTCCCAGTTGCAGGCAGTTTGTGGTGGTCTACAGGAGCCCCAGTTACAGGCAGTTTGTGATGGTCTATGGGAGTCCCAGTTGCAGGCAGTTTGTGATGGTCTACGGGAGTCCCAGTTGCAGGCAGTTTGTGATGGTCTGCGGGAGCCCCAGTTGCAGGCAGTTTCTGATGGTCTACGGGAGCCCCAGTTTCAGGCAGTTTCTGATGGTCTACGAGAGTCCCAGTTGCAGGCAGTTTGTGATGGTCTATGGGAGTCCCAGTTGCAGGCAGTTTGTGGTTGTCTACAGGAGCCCCAGTTGCAGGCAGTTTCTGATGGTCTACGAGAGTCCCAGTTGCAGGCAGTTTGTGATGGTCTACGGGAGTCCCAGTTGCAGGCAGTTTGTGGTGGTCTACAGGAGCCCTAGTTACAGGCAGTAACCAATCGTCCAAATGCTAAAGGGTTCAAATTAATCATTTTTTTTAACCATATAACAACTTCTTGTCATTTGAATTAGAGACTAAAACTTACTAATATATCTGGTTGCTACCAATTTAACGAAATCTCTCCACATATAAACTTGAGATTTATTTTCAAAGTCAGTAAAAATATTCGAAGGATTTCCCATGACTTCAAATCCTGGTTTCAATCCATTTATATACAGCTGCTGAAGAAGATCATCCAGATAGGTAAAATTATAAACTGGTGAACCCGATGAATATCTAGAATTTAAAAAAAAAAATATATACAATATCAGTAGTCTTTATCATGGGAACTACGGTGGCTAAGTGAGTAAGACGTTGGCTCGATAGCCTAGAAGTCGCAGGTTCCTTCATCGTGATTTTCTGGTGTGGTTTCCCCTTGTCGGTCAGTGGTGCAGGATAGAGGGCCTGACAAGGACAGCTGTCTATAGTCGTTTGGATGGGACGAAAAACTGAGATCTCGTATACATATTGGCGTGCACGTAAAAGATCCCTTGGTAGTTGGAATTCGATATAAGAGTAGGCCTTAGCGCTGGTGTCATGGCAAAATTTCCCTCATAGCACACTGCAAGGCGTATGCCGTCTTCATTAGCCCAGCTGGAGCAGAACATTAGGACGTTAAACCCCAATTTCATTTTATTTTGCATGTTTTACTCACCCCGTTACGGTGACAAGATCTAACAACCAATGAATTCTCACTTGTTCTATACCACGATGTGGAACAGCTCCGATATACGCTAAATTCTGTAACATGTCATCACTTAAATCAAAAGCATGAGCTTCTTGATGTGGATCTGGTGGACTGAAAAAGAATTTTAAATAATTCTAAATCTGGATTAGAGAATAGCACAAAAAAATCAGTGTTTTGACAAGAGCAACTTATTGTTTTTAAAAATGATTTTTTTTCCAGATGAGGAGGCTTGGATGACTGAATTGTTAGTATGTGCACGTTGTATCATAAGGTCTGTCATTGAGCCTACATGACAAGGAGTAGGGTCGCCTGTCCCGGGTTCTCCGGTTGCCTTCTACTACTAAAGACCCTTACGCACAAGCAAATTATTGAAATAAAATTGAACGGTTGAAAAAAAAATGAACTATATGTTAGTCCCGAAACTAACTAGTGTGTGTCAAGTGGACTTAAACTAAGCACTTGTTGGTTTAAAATTTATTTTCAATCCCCTGGAAATAGAGAGGGGTGGATGACTGAATTCTGTCATTGAGTCAACTGGCATGGTTCCGATACCCCGGTTGCCTGTCCAACTTTGTTGGTTTTGTTCGATTCCTCCGGTTTCCTCCCACTGCTAAAGACCACCAGACGCAAGTGAATTATTGACATAAAATTGAACCACGTGTTAGTCCAGAAATGCGTCAAGTGGACGTTAAAAGATGCTCATGCAGAATAAATATTCAAATCAGATACTATTTACCAGAATCCAGTACTCCTCCAAAAATGTTGAAATGGACCTCGGACATCATCAGAACTGACTTTTAAGGAAATATCTCCCGATTGAGTGTTGACCTGAACACATAAAGCTAGGAGGATTATCTCCAGATAATCCATTTTATGTCGTTAACACCTCAACACCTGAAATAGATAAAACAAAAAATTATGTTAAATACTACTGCACAACTGTTGATTACATATGTAGTAAAGGGGGTCACGTGGCTAAGTGGGTAAGACACTGGCTCGCTAGCCTGGAGGTCGGGTGTTCGATCCCTGCATTGGCCGAGAAAGTTCATCCAGATTTTCCGGCGTGGTTCCCCTTGTCAATGATGCAGGACGGAGGGCCTGACAAGGACAGCTGTCTAGTCCTTCGGATGAGACGAAAAACCGAGGTCCGGTGTATACATTGGAATGCACGTAAAAGATCTCTTGGCAGTTGGAATTCGATATAAGAGTAGGCCGTAGTGTCGCTGCCCGGGCAAAATTTCCCTCATAGCACACTGTATGGCGTATGCCCATCTTCATTAGCCCAGCATAGGAGCAGAACAGTAGGACGTTAAACCCCATTTCATTTCATTTTATTTCATTAGTAAGAAAAGATGTATGGGTCATATGTAGGATGTGGCGACTGGAAGGAATGGGCCGCCTTCTACGTCTGACAGAAGGCCCAATGGTGCTACACATATACCGGTTAATCATTTAACACAACTAGATCCTGTTCCTAGCTCTGTCTTCTCTATTTCTAGGTATGTCTGCTCCAATCCTAGTTCTGTCTCCTCCAATCCTAGGTCTGGCTCCTTTAATCACAGGTCTGTCTGCTAATTTCCTAGGTCTGCAACCAACCAATTCTAGGTCTGTCCCTCTAGGTGAACCATACCTGTATCTGTACTGTACCTATAGAACAGTACCTGTTCCTGTACACTACCAGTATCTATACCATACCTATATCTATACCATACCTATAGAACCTTACCCATACCCATATTCTACCTATAGAACTGTACCTGTATCTGTACCCTACCTATAGAACCATACCTGTATTTATACTGTATAGAACCGTACCCATACCTATACCCTACCTATAGAACCGTACCTCTATCTATAGACGTAAGAAACTATAAAGATGTATATAGTTGATGGAATCTAACAGGTTATCTGTGTCAAGGTAACAAGTCTTATCTATATAATCATGATAAAAACCCACTATCTATAGTTATATCACCATGACAACATAGATATGACAGGTGAATAAAATTGTAAACTAATGATTAAGAAGGTATGGAGAGTTTTCAAATTACATTACAGTGTTAGCCAAGAAAGTTCTGCATGGTTTTCCAGCCTTGTAAGACAGGAGGGTTTCTAATTGCTCGGATGGGACGTCTGACCATCTTGATATCATTTCCATGAAATGGGTAAATTTGGGGTTTTTTGTTGGTTGAGCCCGGGTGATCATACTGCACTATAGTGAGATATTGACTAATGACTTGTATCCCAACGGATCCCAGCTTTTCAAATATCAAGTTTTCAATAGTTTCTGGAGGTGTTGCTACCAAACCAATGAATCAAACTGCGAAATCAGTACCCAAGTTTGCAGCAATTTAACATTTTAAATGAATCGAATTGGAAAATCTAATTTATTATGCAAATTTAACATTTTAATGGGATGTAGGGATAGTGATATTATTCCCAATGGATTAATGCCGTCATCTCTATGATTGTAGGAGACCGCTGTAGTCAGTGTGATGTTGGCTCGCTAACCAGGATCGAGGTCCTGTGAACGATCACGGAGATGGCCGAGAAAGTCCATCAGATTTTCTGACGTGGTTCCCCCTTGTCAGAGATGCAGGACAGAGGGCCTGGCTTTAAGGGACAAAGAATACTCGTTTGGATATGATAAAAAACAGCTAGCGGTCACATGTTCACAATATTTCCCTCATAGCACACTCTATACAGTAGGACGTTAAACCCTATTTCATTGCTGTGATTGTATTTCATTGTTGTTGTATATTCTGTATATATTTGTCTCTGGCATCCAGTTATTTGTAAGGGGGGGGGGCAAATGGTTACCAAGTGCGCGCTGTATCATAAGGTCTGTCATTGAGTCAACTGCCGTGGTTTCGATTCCCCGGTTGTACATGACAAGGAATAGGGTTGCCTGTCCAACCCCGTGGATTTTCTCCGGGCCCTCCGGTTTCCTCCCACTGCTAAAGACCTCTACGCGCAAGCACCATGGTGTAAAAATAAGTCCAATAAATAAAATATATTTTATTAAATCATTTAACAATTTGCTATAATTATATATAATTAACAATTAGAGGCCTCTGACCACTCAGATATAGGTGAAAATAAAGTGTTGATTTAATGAGAGAAGGGCTCTGGTTTCTGTTGTATCTACAAGTCTTGACTGATAGACGGTGAAGTTGACCGATAGCAGAACTGACCTTTCAGTCAATTGTCATAAAATTAGATATTTCTAATAATTTAACATTAAATCACATTCATCATAGTGTTATGGGTAAAAACAATCGGAGAACATATTTAAAATTTGGGATATTTCTAAAAAAATTTAATTCTTTGTACAAACATATTGAAAATCTTATAGACTGCCTAAATAATCAGGTGTGGTGTGATATTTTAGTTTTGATTTGACCAAATAAGGTCATAGACAAACTGATAATCAGGTCAACCAACATTATTAAAAATATCTTACAGCCAATCAAATGTGGATACAGATACACACCCCTCCTGACTAGATACATGCTGCTTTCGTCTGTTTAAACTAATTAGGTTATTCCTACAACGATTAGCTCAGATTGATTCAATTATTTTAAGCCTTTATTAATCAACGTATTAATTCCCCTGCTTTTTGTATGTTTGAACTTTAAGGAATGAGATGGACCGAAGTTATTCCCACACAATCAGCTCGGCTTGATTCAATCATTTCTAATTCATCTTATGAAAATAATCAATGTATCAATTTTAACAATATCAACACTTTTTTTTAGGACATTATTATTAAGAATATCTGCAGGTGATTAGGGACGAGGATTAGCCTATATAAAACCCATCTTCCTTTGTCTATTTCAACCCAATTTTATCAATGGATACCCATCATTGAATGGCCGAGATTGAAATGAATTTGAACACACGCAAGAATAAAAAAATTTAACAAAAAAATGGACAATCGAGGTTAAGTCTAGGTTGTCAAGTACTGTTGCTATGATAATAAACAATCTATATTACATCTTCAGACAGAATGAAGTAATTTCAATGACATTTCAATATATTCATTTTTCATTATCTATTTTTGAACTATTATATCAAGAATGGACAGCTTTTTATATAATTCCTACATAATGCCTCTTTAATGGATGTATACTTGAGGTGACAAAATCAAAACAAGCCATTTTAATCAATTGATACCCTGTAGTAACTCATTTTTTATATTTTATTATTATAAGGTAAATCAAAACAAGAACAAGTAATCTACAAGGCCAACAGTTTAAAGGGACATTATGGGAGATTAGATAAAGAGTTGACAGTTCTCGCTACAATAGTTAAAACATAGATAACGTAAATAGAATATGCTGAAAATTTCAGACAAATTGATCCACTCTGAACCAAGATGCGATTGAATTTTAGGCTAGCCTTGATCATCATTACTAAATTCGTTACGATAAAAAATAAAGTCTCTATTATCCATTTTGACGTTACATCATTCATCACAATATGTATTCAAATCCAGTAAATATCGCAGGCTAGCGATGGCATCAAGAGTTGATTATGGTCTGGATAAGTTAATGAATGTCCAATAAATAAATTAGATAACATTTCAGGCCTAAAAAAATGAGCTGCAATAGGCAGATTTAGCTCTTCCATAGTATAAGTTTAAGGTGAGTAAAGTTTAGGTTGAGAATAGGGTCCTGGTCTCTTCCAGTAATCTATGGCTCGAACAGCATAATACCCTCTCACCAAATCATCACCACTTGTACCTGGAAATATAAAATAATACTTTTCAGACCCAGAGTGGCATTAAAGTTGTATGGGGCTCCTGGTTGTAGTTCAAACAGGGGGACTACCCATTCAAATTATTACTACAGATAACAACCTGTTAAATTTAGTGGTTTTTTTGTGAAAATACACTGATTGCAACTCTATAATAGTTTTGAATAAATGGAAATTACCGTTTTGTGGAAGAGGTGATATAACAGATATGGTTGCTATGGTATCCACATTATTCACACGTTGGAATGGTCCAGTACTGTTGTTAGGTGAGTAGCCAACTTCATAGGTGTAAATACATCTGAAATAAACAGATTAAAATATACTTTCCATTTTTAACAGCTTAAACCACACTCGTATGTAGTCAGAATGATTATTTAACATTTAATTAAGAAAACATTATCAAAATATCAATCCTGACTTGGATTCCATCAGATTAAAACCCAACAGTTGAAAGTGGCACTGGCTTGTTTATATCTTCTGCTGAGGATCCATTCTCCACACAAGTCTCGCTATCCAGCATTCATATGGACTGCAAGGGAAGACAACTCTGTTTGGGAGATTGTCAAGGATGATGAATATTGACAAACAGTTCCTACAATATTGTAGAAATTCAACTTGTACAATATTGTAGTTAGCTAGGGATTCCTCCAACCAGGGCCATACTATATACCGGAAAACACCGGAAAACAACCGGAAAACACCATTTTATACTGAATACCGGAAAACACCAGTAAAACACTAAATACCGGAAAAAATCCTAAATACCGGAAAACACCCTAAAAAGGTATCCCGGAGCCTGGTCCTCTGTGTTCGGTTTTGGACCAAGTGAGCGCCGATGAAGGAAGGCCAAGGTCATTACGATGTTCATTTTACAAATAGCAACCCCCCCCCCCCAAAAAAAAAAAAGAATTTCCAATTTTTTTTCTTCAAAACTTTGATGCCTATTATGTTTTGAATGTTTTAAAAGACGCAATCAGTCTACCTCCATCATTGACCATATTTTATTTTGTATTTTAATTTTAGTTTTCAGTAAATTTCAGTAGATTTCAGTGTTTCAGTAGATTAAACACTGCCCTCGGAGGGCCCCATTATATGCCGGTTGCGCCGGTCTCCTGATTCTTACCAGTAACGCTGGCATCAGGGTGGTACGAATTAGTGGAAGGCACGACTAGGCCAACTCCTCCCTAGGTAACAAAAAATCGCATCATAAAACAGCAGGTATCATCAAAAGCGAGTTAATAAATCTCTGAATAGTTCGAGTTGAAGTTCCAGGTTTAACCGCTATGTGTCCTAATCACCAAACAAAATGGATGCCACGCACTTCTCGGACAGGCTGTAATCTGAAAAGTGTCTATCCTTTCCAAGAACTATCCATCTCGTTGGAAGGGCTAAAAATCTACTTGTTTCTGAGCTTACTTTCATTCCAGGGTCAAATATAATAACTTGAACCATAATAATATTCAAAATATTCCATCATATTCCGAGGGCCGCACACAGGATTTTTTTCTGGATTACTTTTCGAGCTTTTTTCCCCAACTTGTTGACCAGTTTTCCTTGAGAAAACCCCAACTTTCGCCCAATTGTCCATGAGAAAACTACATATTCTATCTTACTGCATTGACGGGAAGTGGTAAGCTGGACGTCTGTGAAAAGGGTTGATCGATAAATTTTCAAGGAAGCAATTGTTGTTTTTGTTTGTGAAATAGAGGACTCTAGCCGATGAGGCTACTTTCCCCCGAGAACCTCAGACAACCAATTTGTTTTATGTACTACTATCGTAATAAAACATTACTATGTTAACCACTTCCTGGTGGCTGAAGACTTACACCGAATGCGTATTCGGAAAAAAATGTCCCCGAGAAAATGTTTTTTCAGACAATCAATATTCGAGATGTCTTCTGTTGCACAAATTATGCTGCACTGTGTAAGAACTTGCATCTTTTGATCTGTAGATTGTAGACGGAAAAGTATATATCATTTGCACTATTTCAAAGTAAACCTGCATTTTCGTATATCATCCCGTAATTTGTGATTAATGACAATGACTGTGGAAATAATATGGGTTGAGGAACGGAAGATCTATGTTCGTCACGTGACTGGACAATTCCACCCCCGTCCCACCCTGACGATGATCCCTTCCTGAGCGGCGCGGCTGCCCTCTAAAAAAATCTTGGGCACAGTTTACTCTTCTAAGTTTTCCGGTGGCTATTTAGTAACCCGGAGTTTGCTCCTCGTGTGTGGTTTTGGACCAGGTGAGCGCTTATGAAATAAGTTCATTAACATACAAGCGAGCGATCGCCTACGGTCAAAGAAAAATTCCTTTTCAGATTTTTTTTAACAATTTCTTCTCCCAAATTTCTCTTAAAAAAAAATTCTAATTTTTTTCCAGTATTTTTCTCAGTAAAATTATTTTCTACGGAATGCTTTTTTGTAAAAACAATTTTTCGGAAAAATTTGATTTTTTTTTTTGTGACAGAAAATTTTTTTTGTCAAAAAAATTTGGGAGAAAAAAAAAATCGGAATTTTTTTGGGGGGTGGGGTGGGGGGCTATTTGTAAAACGAACATCGTAATGACCTTGACATTCCTTCATCGGCGCTCACTTGGTCCAAAACCGCACACAGAGAACCAGGCTCCGGCTTACCTATTTAGGGTGTTTTTCGGTATTTAGGGTGTTTTTCGGTATTTAGTGTTTTTGCGGTGTTTTCCGGTATTCAGTATAAAATGGTGTTTTCCGGTTGTTTTCCGGTGTTTTCCGGTTGTTTTCCGGTGTTTTCCGGTGTTTTACGGTATATAGTATTGGCGCTCCAACCATATTCAGAGACATTACTATTCCTACTTACTTTTATATTCTCATCTGACCATATAACTAGAAGTATATATACTTACTTTGATTTGATATTCTCATCTGACCATATAACTAGAACTTGTCCTATTGTTATAGTCATAAACCTCAAGCCAGTTACCTGAAATACATTCATTTTAATGTAACAATTGTTTCTATGTTTACTGGGTTCCAGTATATGAATACAGTTGGAGAGAGAGAAAGGAATGGGGTTTAACGTCCACTTGTCAGTGATAGGAAGAAGGATCTGTTAAAGGATCTTTTACGTGCAAGCCAATGAGTACACAGGTGGAGCTAGGATTTTCATGCCCTTTAAACAACTAGACATAGACCCTGAAGGTGCCATCCCTCTCAAGTGAGAACTGAGCTTGGAGAACCTTAAGGTTTTCTGTGTCTATGCAGGGCTTTGAACCAGGAACATTCCAGTTGAGAGGTCAGTGTCCTAACAGATTGAGAACCGCGACCCCTGATGTTTAAAGTACAGTATATCCAGGTCTGGATTGACCTACTAGTGGGCCCTAGGTCAAACCCTTCAGTGTACCTGGTTTACACTGGAAACAAGGTTATATACACTGGCACACTGCACGACAAATTAGTTTCATTTGGCCACTAGATACCCTAGGCCAGTGGCCTGATATGACGAAATTCAGTCCTAAAATTATATAAGAGAGGGGTTTAATGTCCATTCCAGACAAACCAGGTCGTTTTGGGACTAACATATGGTTCAATTTTATTTCAATAATTTGCTTGCACGTAGCGGTCTTTAGCAGTGGGAGGAAACTAAAGAAAACACACACAAGTTTGGACTAGGCCTGTAGCCAGGCTGCCAGTCGGGGGCAAGGGGGGCAATGCCCTCCTGAAAAATGTTTTGCCCCCCCCCCCGAAAAAAAAATTGTCGACCATAGCTCTAAAATACCTTCTGTAGACTGTGCCGGGTGTGCTCCCCCTAAAAACTTCACTGCCCCTCCGCAGCCAGCAAGCTGGCTATGGGCCTGGTTTGGACAAGCAACCCTATGAGACAGACCATATGATCCAATGTGCACGCATTAACCCCCCCTTAATACTAATTGTGGAGTAATTGTGGTAATCCTGTCTGGTCTTATCTTATATTGAGGTAAATCATGCTGATTGTATCGAAACGTATCCAAACTTATCTGTACGTACTAGATCATAGATTCAATATCAACAATCCTATTGTAACGCATCGCACGACAGTTGGAAACTAGTATTAACAATATGGATACAATCGTGACAGAGACCTGTTCTGGTACTGCTACAGGTTTAGCACACAGATGAAGAAGCGTTGCTTCTGGTTGTAATATCTGCCATCTTGGTGGAAGTATAACCTTCCCAGGTCCTGGTTTTACTGGTTGGTAAGCAACTCGTCCCACACCCTGAAATATTCAGTTAATATATAAATTCAATATGCTACCCAAAACACATACCTGTTCTGGTAGTGATAGCGATTTGGCACAGATGTGAAGTAAAACAGCATCCGGTTGGAGGATCTGGAATCCTGGTGGAATCGGGACTGTTTGTGGACCAGGTCTAAGTGTTATTACAGAGAAACGAGGATTTGCCTGAAAAAATAACAATGAGGCAGTTTATGATAAGCTCTGTGATGAACCAGTTGAAAAGTTACAAATCATGACCACATCTTCAAGTAATTTCTAATCCATCAGAGGCACCACAGACAGTAATTAGGACTTTAAATTCTTCTGCTATAAACATCCCCAGAGCTATGGTTGCTCTGAGGTTAAGACGTTGTGCAACGTGGAGTCAGTCCCGAACTTGGCTAAGGAAATTCCTCAGAATTTTTCAGCCTTGTTTCCCATTACCAGTGGTGCAGGACGGAGAGCTTGGCAAGTAGGAGCTTCAAGTCCTTTGGATAGGATGAAAAATCAAGGTCCAAGGGGGAAGTAAATGATCATTGACAATTGTAATTGTAATTCGATAAAGAGTGGACGGAGTGTGTCGTTGGCAATGTCAAGCGGTGATTCTTATCCTTGTCGTGAGACTCATAACTTGCATAGATGATAGACCTATCCACCGACACACCTGACAGTGGCCAGCATAGCAGCCAAGCTCATTTGTTTTGTGATCAGTGGATGAGCAGTATAAGTTATAAGTTATAGATATGCTGTACTTGCCTCTTGTATTCTGAGAAATTGAAACTGTTTTGGTGTCGGATAATCTGTTTTATTATATAAGCCTGTCCATACTCCATACGGATCATTGGATAAACCACTTACAATATACCCCACTAACATCAACTCTACAAAATATATCATATATCAGTACAACTCTATACAATTTGTCATATATCAGTACAACTCTATACAATATGTCATATATCAGTACAACTCTATACAATATGTCATATATCAGTACAACTATATAATATATCATATATCAGTACAACTCTACAATATATCAGTACAACTCTACAATATCAGTACAACTCTACAATATCAGTACAACTATATACAATATATGATATATCACTACAACTGATGTATATACAATATATGATATATCAGTACAATATAGAATATTCAGTATAACATAGCATACATCAGTACAACTCTATAATATATCATATATCAGTACAACTATACAATATATCATATATCAGTACAACTCTACAATATATCATTACAACTATTATAAATTAAAGCTTCACTATATCACTGTTGTTGGTGTTGACTGACTACATACACCATTTTATTAGCAAGTGCCCTAAATATATACTGGGACATAATGAAAACACAGTACTCATTTGATGCTGGTGAAATGTGATTCTGGTATATTTACGACACAAGAAAGTCGTTAAGATGATGTAACACATGTACCTTGTGTAGGATCTGGTGGATTAATATACCAATCTAAATCTAACTCTCCGTAACTAGTACCATGATTCGAATCATCACTATCGTATATTAATAACGACATCTGCCAACTAAAAATAGAATTAAATGAGGGTTTAAATGCAACCAGGTAAATAAAGACAAGTTTACGCCATTCAGCGTCGTGCTATGGGGGAACTGTTTGTCTCGACAGCAGCATTTTATGTCAGGTTTCCACTGTCGTACGATGCGTTACAATAGGATTGTCCCCATTGAGTCCACGATCTAGTACGTGCAGATACGTTCGGATACATTTCGATACAATCAACATGACTGCTACGACTGACCTCTATATATGATAAGACCTAATAGGATCACCACGATTACTCCACGATTAAAACCACGATTTCAATCGTAGTGGGAACCTAGCATTAGCTCACTCTCCACCGAATTCCAACTGTCAATGTTTCATTTAAAACAAGGATGCTAATGTGTACCCTGGGCCTCAGTTTATTGTACTATCCAAAGGACTAGACACTGTTTTGGGTGATATAGGGTTAATGAATATCAATTGTCAATGACGCTACTGATTCATGGGGGGTAACTACCATAATTCTAAACTATTAGAATCAATGCAATTAGTGGTAGGGAGGTCACAATAACGAAATTACTATTGTGTTGAAATGAATGAAACGGGGTTTAAAGGGGGGGGAGAGAAATGGGGTTTAACGTCCACTCGACACAAACTAGGTCATTTCAGGACTAACATACGGTTTAATTTTATTTCAATAATTCGCTTGCGCGTAGAAGTCTTTAGCAGTGGGAGGAAACCGGAGGACCCGGTTGGACAGGCAACCCTACTCATTGTTACGTACAACCGGGGAATCGAAACCGCGCCAGTTGACTCAATGACTGACTTTATGGTGAAAAGCGCACGTGCTAACCATTCAGCCATCCAACCCCCCGGGGTTTAAAGGAGGCAAGTCTCTAACTCAATATCATCCAAAGTCTTCGACATTAAAAACACAAATTATTTGTCAATTTAAATCAACCATTGGTACACGAATCGTTTGTATACCATAATGTGTTTTAACACCATTTCTAACAAGGGATTCGAAGAACAAGGCTAGACATATTCCACAAGTCATGTCAAACACAATAAATACTATCGGTGTAGACTGGAATAACCAGACGCTAGAGATTTCCATTCGATTGAGAATTCTGGCGTATTTCGTCGAACATAACTGATTAGAAATTACAGTAAAAACAGAAACGATTAAATGTAAAATAGTTTATATACATTCATATTACATTATTATATGCGTTGTGACCCATTGTGTTCATTTCTAGGGTCCAAATATTAGTGATTTAGCTTGTTTAACATTTTACAGAATTCTATTGAATATTTTAACAGTGTAATTGTATTTACCTGTCTGATGTTGTATTATCACCAGGTATATGTATAGTAGCTAACGCTCCAGTTTCTGTATCATTTCTGATTGCTTTATCTGAGTGTAAAATGGAAAAATGCCTACACAGATTTAGCTCTTGCATAATGTATGTTTAAAATAAGGCGAAGAATTTTGAGTAAATTCTTATCTTAAGCCCGAGAATGCTTTGTGAACTCGGGACTCAATAATGATAAATTTTTCTCGGCCAACACAAGGATCGAACCCATGCCTTCCTGGTTAATCATCCAGCGTCTTACTCACTGAACCACCGTGACTCCTCCCACAATCTAAATATAGATTAAACTTACCACCACCAGTACCAACAAAAACCTGTTGATCTCCTAATAAGGACAACATACACAGAGTACCATATATAGGTTTCTGTATAAATGTTGTGTATGGTACTTTGGTATTATTCATCTGAAATCTGGCCAGTAGGGTGCGCTGTGTAAACTGATGTGGGTAGTAACTAAGGAATCCATTATCGTAACTAAGTAACTGATAATTTATAGGATTGGCAGGATTTGCAATGAAAATATTCTGATGTTGTGCAATAATCTGAAATAAAAGTGGGAAGAGGATAAAATAATATGTAGCCTAGTCAATCTCGTGGTCGAGACTAACATATGGTTCAATTTTATTTCAATAATTCACTTGTACATATGGGTCTTTAGCAGTGAGAGGAAACTGGAGGACCCAGAGAAAACCCACGAGGTTGAATAGGTGACCCTACTCCTTGTCACGTACAACCAGGGAATCGAACCCACGTCAGTTGACTCAATGACAGACCTTATTATACAGCACACACAAGGGACCATCAGGTTTTATTTTCTTCCGGGGGGGAGGGGGACCAAGTTGTCTTAAATTTGCAATTTAGTTGATAAGAAGTGTAATTGAGTCAAGTGGTGAGATGGCTATAAGATGCTTGACAAGGACTATGATCGCCTATCCAATCTCCCACAGCATGGATGTACCATATGTTAGTCCCAAAATGGTCAGCAATACAATACAAGCCATAATAAAGAGTAATTAGACAATTACCTTGACAGCCATAGCACCATATATGGCATCAGCTCTCCATGGTAAATCTTTACTCCATCCCACCATAGGATCAGATTCACTATAAAAAAGATAAATTCTTTCAATCCATGCTGTTTATTACAAATTTAACGTCCAATACATAATGTATGATATTATGGAATCATTCAATCCATAATTTAACCCTATTTTATACGCAGATGGTAGGTGGCTCAGTGAGTAGGACGTTGGCTCGCTAACCTGGAGGTCCCTTGTTCAATCCCTGTATTGACTGAGAAAGTTTATCAGGATTTTTTCCGGAGTGGTTCCCCCTTGTCAGTGGTGCAGAATGAAGGGTCTGGCAAGAGACAACGTATAGATGTTCGAGTTGGCCAAAAAACAAACGTCCCTTGAATAGAGAGAGAGATATAGGGTTTAACGTCCACTTGACACAAACCAGGTCATTTCGGGACCAACATATGGTTCAATTTTTATTCAATAATTGCTAGCGTGTAGGGGTCTTTAGCAGTGGGAGGAAACCGGAGGACCCAGAAAAATCCCAAGAAGCTTGACAGGTGACCCTACTCCTTATCAAGTACAAACAGGGAATCAAAACCATGCGACCTGACTTAATGACAGACCTTACGATACCATTCGGTGCCCCGTGTCCCTTGAACAACATTGGCACTTTTATAGTTTCACTCCATACTACTATACAAGTACCTCAATGAGCCGAAATATTGTCTATCAGCTTCTGATTAAATCAAATTCCCGAGTAACCCCCCAGACTTTACGCCAAACTTGACGTCTCCACACTAGACCACCTGCAAGAAGGGAACAGATATTGTAAAAATGATTAGCTTTTTTTAGAATTTCTTTTTTAAAAAATTTGATTTAATGGTTTATAGTTTACTTACTCATTATAGAAAGGTTTTTTGGCTAACGTAGGATATTTATCACTAATTACTTTCATTGTCGCTACTTCCTCCAATAAAATATTCATTGATTTACCATTACCCTGCAAATAAAACGTAGGATCAACAACAACAAAAACTAACAAACACTGTATAGGTGGGGAGTCGTCATGGCTTAGTCAGTGAGATGCCAGTCTGCAGAGTATGTTCGATTTTCACGAGATCTTGTGCGTGCAATAAAATCCTTACTAAATTCCGGCCTGCAATGTAACACTTCAAGCGTGAAGGAAATAAATCCACGAGTGATAAATTATGCTATTTCTGTCTGGCGTGTAATTTAAAAAAAGTACCACTAAAATTCAAAATTATAGCAACCACTGCACGCGTACATTAGCCACACATGGCAACTCTTTTGGGTCAATTTGCCTCACCAGACATACTCGGCAGACTGGGTGAGATGCGGGTTCGACCCCGGTGTATGCTGAGAAAGAAAATGAAATGAAATGGGGTTTAACGTCCTACTGTTCTGCTGCGACTGGGCTAATGAAGACAGGCATACAGCATACAGTGTGCTATGAGGGAAATTTTTCCCAGGCAGTGGCACTATGGCCTACGCTTATATCGAATTCCAACTGCCAAGGGATCTTTTACGTGCATGCCGATGTGTACACAGGATCCCGGTTTTTCGTCCCATCCGAATGACTAGACAGCTGTCCTTGTCAGGCCCTCCTGGTGCAGAGTCAAATCATTTGGATTGGAACACGTAAAATAATCCTTTCACAAAGGGAGGGAATCTAATTAACTTAACTTGGTATGAAAGAGGTACCTTTCTTTGGGAGGAAATCGATTGTCTAAACTTGAGAGCAGCAACATACCTTTTTATGTAGTGAAATAAAATCCATTCTAACTCCAGTTTCTCCTGTAAAATAATTTTTACCATTGACCACATGGTTGAGTATAAACTCGTCGTATTTCCCATGTTGACCAGATTTTAACAGTATATCTTTGCATCCGTCTCCTGGTCCACCAAATATAAGGTCAGAGTTTGCAGCCATTAACCCTTCACTGGTTGCATCGTAATAGTTGGCAAAACCTGTAAAATATTTTATAGTCTTGAAAAAGGAAAAGGATGGTTAATGTTTTGTGATATTAAAATTTGAAAATCGATTTGTGTATGTATGACTAGTGTACATATGACCAGTGTACATGTCAAAATCGACCTGTGTATGTGTACAAATTAAGCTAAATCAACCTGTGTATGTGTTAAAATCGACCTGTGTAGGTGTAAAATTGACCTGTGTAATGTGAAAATTAGGTGTGTATGTATAAAAAGCAATATGTGTACATGTGCAATCGACCTGTGTACTGTGGAAATTGACCTGTGTATGTGTAAAATCGACCTGCGTATGTGTAAAAAAAGAAACTTGTGAAATCTACCTGTGTATTTGTGAAAATCTACCTGTGTAGATGTGAAAATCTACCTGTGTAGATGTGAAAATCTACCTGTGTATGTGTGAAAATCTACCTGTGTATGTGTGAAAATCGATGTGCGTATCTGTGAAAATTGATTTATAAAGCATGTAAAATACCTTGAAGTGTTATATTCATATCAAAATCCTGATTATTAGGTTCATTCCAATTCTCAAAATTCCATGTTTTCACATAATCCAAACCAAACATCTCTGAAATAGATATAGATCATCTTCAAAAAGAATTATCAAAACAACATGAAGACTATATTATATTAGTAGTAAATTAAACTCCAACTGCCAAGGGATCTTTTACGTGCATGACAATGTGTAGCCTACACATGCAGGACTTACAGGCAGTTTGGGATGGTCTATGAAAGCCCTTGATACGAGCAGTTTGTAATGGTCTATGGGAACTTTAGTTACAGGCACTAACCAATGGTCCAAGTGCTAAAGGATTCAAATTGAACTTTTTTTTAATCAAACAGCAACTTTTTGTCATTTGAATTAGAGATAAAAACTTACTAATATATCTGGTTGCTACCAATTTAATGAAATCTCTCCACATATAAACTTGAGATTTATTTTCAAAGTCAGTAAAAATATTCGAAGGATTTCCCATGACTTCAAATCCTGGTTTTAATCCATTTATATACAGCTGCTGAAGAAGCTCATCCAGGTAGGTAAAATTATAAACTGGTGAACCCGAGGAATATCTAGAATTTAAAAAAAATAAAAATATATACAGGTGTGAGTAGTCTTTATTATACCAGACTATGATTGACTTTGTTATGTTCTTAGCGCATTTAGTCAGTATAATTTGATGACATTTCGGATTCCGTCTCTTTCAGTTTTCGTAAGGCAAAGATGCAAAAATACAAAATAAAATGAAGGAATGGAATCGAATGGAATTTAATGTTTCGACAGAAAAATACTTCAGCCATATTTGGGAATAACATATTGTAAGATTTGATTCCATGGTCATGTGTGGAGAATAATGCCTGGACAGCTCTGTCAATAATTCTTTCACATCAATGCCAATGAGTACAGGTGGTCACCTACATCAACAGTGTAAGTAAATGGTTTTACCAATCTGATTAAAAAACAGATTATATTTCTTTTCTTTTTCTTATACTTTTGATGGCCTTTATAACATAAAGATCTGACCGGTTGTAGTTGGAGGTCGTGTCAGGGATCATACGACCTGCTTTTGACCCTGAAGTCAGGCATTTGATTAACCGATCAGCGTTGATCTTTCAAGTAGGATACCCACAGTTTTGTGCATCACACACTAAGTACTTGCCTCAACAGACTGTTTCATTGGTTAATCCTTCACATCATCCAGAACGCTCGTATTATATCAAGTCTTTCAGATCCTCGTATAGTAAAGACAATTAAAACGAAAATTTGAACTATAAAAAACGAAACGAAATAGGATCTGTGTTTTAATCGGATTGATGTTTTACTCACCCCGATACGGTGACGAGATCTAACAACCAATGAATTCTCACTTGTTCTATACCACGATGTGGAACAGCTCCGATATACGCTAAATTCTGTAACATGTCATCACTTAAATCAAAAACATGAGCTTCTTGATGTGGATCTGGTGGACTGAAAAACAATTTTAAATAATTCTAAATCTGGATTATAAAATGGCACAAAAAATCATTCTTTTGACAAGAGATACTAATCGCTTTTAAAGGGACAATAACACTCTTGCTGGCTTGACAGCTCCAAAAAATAAAAAATAGCCTTATTCTAAGTACTAGATGTGTTAGTGTCCTACCTGTTGTGTAAATTATCCATTAAATCCTATTTTACTTGTCCAGAGTTCAAAAATATTTTTAAATCCAAGTCACATTTGGAAAGCTTTACGTCAGGCTTTTCAAATCATTTAGTTGAATTTTTCCAATTTTTTAAATAAGGTGTGTTAAGATGAAATTTGTATCATCAATTAATTGGAATATTGTAAAATAGTGCAATTTGTTGACCAGAATAAAGATTGGGACATATTATTCAGTTACAACAAGAGTGGTATTGAGCCTTTAAAATTGTTTTTATTCCAGATGAGGGGGGGTGGATGGCTGAATGGTTAAAGCATGCGTGTTGTATCTTAAGGTCTGTCATTGAGTCAACATGACAAGGAGTAGGGTCGCCTAGGGTGTTCCAGTTTCCTCCTACTATTAAAGACAGCTACAATCAAGCGAATTATTGAAATAAAATTGAACCATATGTTAGTCTCGAAATGACCTAGTTTTGTGTCGAGTGGACGTTAAACCCAATTTCTCTCTCCCTCCCTGGAAATAGGAATCAAAACAAAAGATGCTTATGCAGAATAAATATTCCAATTTGATATTATTTACCAGAATCCAGTACTTCTCCAAAAATGTTGAAATGGGCCTCGGACATCATCAGAACTGACTTTTAAGGAAATATCTCTCGATTGAGTGTTGACCTGAACACATAAAGCTAGGAGGATTATCTCCAGATAATCCATTTTATGTTGTTAACACCTCAACACCTGAAATAGATAAAACAAAAATTATGTTCAATATTACTGTATACCTGTAGATTTCATATACTGGTAAATCGTTCAACACAGCTTAAGCATCTATTCCTAGATCTGTCTTCTCCAATCCTAGGTCTGTCTCCTCCAATCCTAGGTCTGTCTTCTCCAATCCTAGGTCTGTCTCCTCCAATCCTAGGTCTGTCTTCTCCAATCCTAGGTCTGTCTCCTCCAATCCTAGGTCTGTCACCACCAATCCTAGGTCTGTCTCCTCCAATCCTAGGTCTGTCTTCTCCAATCCTAGGTCTGTCTTCACCAATCCTAGGTCTGTCACCACCAATCCTAGGTCTGTCTTCTCCAATCCTAGATCTGTCTTCTCCAATCCTAGGTCTGTCACCACCAATCCTAGGTCTGTCACCACCAATCCTAGGTCTGTCAACTCCAATCCTAGGTCTGTCCACTACCAATCCTAGGTCTGTCACCACCAATCCTAGGTCTGTCACCACCAATCCTAGGTCTGTCTCCTCCAATCCTAGGTCTGTCTCCTCCAATCCTAGGTCTGTCTCCTCCAATCCTAGGTCTGTCTTCTCCAATCCTAGGTCTGTCTTCTCCAATCCTAGGTCTGTCACCACCAATCCTAGGTCTGTCTTCTCCAATCCTAGGTCTGTCTCCTCCAATCCTAGGTCTGTCTCCTCCAATCCTAGGTCTGTCTCCACCAATCCTAGGTCTGTCTCCTCCAATCCTAGGTCTGTCTTCACCAATCCTAGGTCTGTCTCCTCCAATCCAAGGTCTGTCACCACCAATCCTAGGTCTGTCTCCTCCAATCCTAGGTCTGTCTCCACCAATCCTAGGTCTGTCTTCTCCAATCCTAGGTCTGTCTTCTCCAATCCTAGGTCTGTCTCCACCAATCCTAGGTCTGTCTCCTCCAATCCTAGGTCTGTCTCCTCCAATCCTAGGTCTGTCTCCTCCAATCCTAGGTCTGTCACCACCAATCCTAGGTCTGTCTCCTCCAATCCTAGGTCTGTCACCACCAATCCTAGGTCTGTCTTCTCCAATCCTAGGTCTGTCTTCTTCAATCCTAGGTCTGTCTTCTTCAATCCTAGATCTGTCTTCTTCAATCCTAGGTCTGTCACCACCAATCCTAGGTCTGTCACCACCAATCCTAGGTCTGTCTTCTCCAATCCTAGGTCTGTCTCCTCCAATCCTAGGTCTGTCTCCACCAATCCTAGGTCTGTCTTCTCCAATCCTAGGTCTGTCTTCTCCAATCCTAGGTCTGTCTCCACCAATCCTAGGTCTGTCTCCTCCAATCCTAGGTCTGTCTCCACCAATCCTAGGTCTGTCACCTCCAATCCTAGGTCTGTCACCACCAATCCTAGGTCTGTCACCACCAATCCTAGGTCTGTCTTCACCAATCCTAGGTCTGTCTCCTCCAATCCAAGGTCTGTCACCACCAATCCTAGGTCTGTCTCCTCCAATCCTAGGTCTGTCTCCACCAATCCTAGGTCTGTCTTCTCCAATCCTAGGTCTGTCTTCTCCAATCCTAGGTCTGTCTCCACCAATCCTAGGTCTGTCTCCTCCAATCCTAGGTCTGTCTCCTCCAATCCTAGGTCTGTCTCCTCCAATCCTAGGTCTGTCACCACCAATCCTAGGTCTGTCTCCTCCAATCCTAGGTCTGTCACCACCAATCCTAGGTCTGTCTTCTCCAATCCTAGGTCTGTCTTCTTCAATCCTAGGTCTGTCTTCTTCAATCCTAGATCTGTCTTCTTCAATCCTAGGTCTGTCACCACCAATCCTAGGTCTGTCACCACCAATCCTAGGTCTGTCTTCTCCAATCCTAGGTCTGTCTCCTCCAATCCTAGGTCTGTCTCCACCAATCCTAGGTCTGTCTTCTCCAATCCTAGGTCTGTCTTCTCCAATCCTAGGTCTGTCTCCACCAATCCTAGGTCTGTCTCCTCCAATCCTAGGTCTGTCTCCACCAATCCTAGGTCTGTCACCTCCAATCCTAGGTCTGTCACCACCAATCCTAGGTCTGTCACCACCAATCCTAGGTCTGTCTCCTCCAATCCTAGGTCTGTCTCCTCCAATCCTAGTTCTGTCTCCTCCAATCCTAGGTCTGTCTCCTCCAATCCTAGGTCTGTCTGTCCACTACCAATTCTAGGTCTGTCCCTCTAGGTGAATCATACCTATAGAACCATTCCTGTATCTATACCGTACCTATAGAACAGTACCTGTACATTACCTGTATCTATACCATACCTATATCAATACTGTAGAGAACCGTACCCTACCTATAGAACCTTACCTGTATCTATACCGAATAGAACCTTAACCTGTACCTGTATTCTACCTATAGAATCGTTCCTCTATCAGTACCCTACAAAACGTTTAGATGTAAGAAACTGTAAAGATGTATATATTTGATAGATGATCTGTGTCAAGGTAACAAGTCTTATCTATATAATCATGATAAAAACTACTATCTATAGTTATATTACCATGACAACATAGATATGACAGGTGAATTAAATTGTGAACTATAGATTAACCCTTGTCGGTGCATGTGGGGTCTCCGTGGACCCCATGCACATGTTTTATAGTGTTTTGTAATAACACGGGGCACTGCTTTCTGAAATTTTGTGACTTTGTCTACAATAAATTTTTACACGTAGCGAAGAGTTCGGTATTCATCTGCTTCTCACATGCAGAGTTATGTCACATGCAAATCAGGCCCAACGCTTGAAGGGAACAAGGGGTCCAATCAGACCCCTGACTTACAACTCACGTAAGGATTTTGCTAATGTATTTGCTGCCTAATACCATATTGCGTATGCCAGAGTATTCTCTCTTTTAACATCTGCATGTTACAAATACCAAAAATTAAGTGATGAATTCCAATATTCAATGGTTTTTGTATCAAGCGTGAATTGCCATTTAACCTGTTTATCACATAGTACACAAAGTAGCAATTTTGTGAGAATTATTAAATCTTTTCCAAATGTCACGAAAATGTTTTTGTATAATAATTTAGATGTTTTTCAGTTGTCAAATATGAATGCAAATAAAAACTAAACCGCTGCCTTTTAATTCAAATATATCTGTACGTAAAAACTTTGAATTATAACTGGGGTCCATATGGACCCCTTGATACCTGATATGTGATTCTCACAATGTGCACAATGTCCTGTGAACGATCACGGAGATGGCTGAGAAAGTTCAGCGAATTTTCCAACGTGGTTCCCCCTTGTCAGAGATGCAGGACAGAGGGCCTGGCTTTAAGGGACAAAGAATACTCGTTTGGATATGATAAAAAACAGCTAGCGGTCACATGTTCACAATATTTCCTTCATAGCACACTCTATACAGTAGGACATTAAACTCTAATTCATTGCTGTGATTGTATTTCATTGTTGTTGTTGCATATTCTGTATATATTTGTCTGCCAGCCACTTATTTGTAAGGGGGGGGGGCGAATGGTTAGCACATGCACGCTATTTGTAAGGGGGGGGGCGAATGGTTAGCACATGCACGCTATTTGTAAGGGGGGGGGCAAATGGTTAGCACATGCACGCTGTATCATAAGGTCTGTCATTGAGTTAACTGCCTAGGTTTTGATTCCCCGGTTGTACGTCTATATCACACGGTCTGTCATTGAGTCAACTTGTGGGGTTTCGATTCCCCGGTGGTACGTGACAAGGAGTATAGGGTCGCCTGTCCAACCTCGTGGGTTTTCTCCTGACCCTCCAGTTTCCTCCCACTAAGACCCCTACGCGCCAGCAAATTATTGAAATAAAATTAAAAAATATATAAGTCCCGAAATGACATAGTTTGTGTCGAGTAGACGTTAAACCTCTCTCTCTCTCTTACATGTATTTGTTGTATCATTTGCTTGATAAACCCAAGAGTATCCTAGTGGAAACGTTGCATGATAAATCCAGTAATTGTGTATCCATACAACTGTACCTTGTGTTAATATTTTTATCTATTGAGTGTAATAACGATTAGTTATGGTATTACTCTTTTATATTACACCCCCGCCCCCAGACAAGATCTATCGTCATCTGAATAACATATATAATACACACCAAGTATGTCATACCACGGTTTTATGTCATTCCTTTCTCAACTCAACTTGTAAACAATGGAGATATTCCAGTGACTTTCTTTTATAAAATTACAAAACAGCAACAAAGTGTCAAATAACTAATATAGTAATAGTCAGACGATTTTATTTACCATTTGATGCTCAAAGGGAAACAAATCCATTTAAAGGAAACAAAAAGCGGGAGACAACCCAGTCATAAAATTGTTTTATTTTTTAAAATAAAAAGGAGTTCTGAAATGAATATCCCATTTTTATCATTTCGGTAGAAAGTGTTTCTTTAGAAACAACTTTGTGAAGTTTTACTTTGGTTCCTGCAGATAATGTATGAACCAAGTGTGTCAAATTTTGCCAGGGGGCCTTCTCTCCAAGATCATGTGATATGTTGTACATGAGGCAGGGTATGCTAGAATAATATCATTCCAGACATATTGGATGTTGCCAGGTGGAACATGACAACATGACTGTGTTATACTGTTTGGTTTGTTATGTCTTTATTTTGATATGCACTTTTCCTACAGTGGCTATTAATAAACCAATCTGGTTAAAACACAGATCCCATTTTGTTGCATTTTTTATAGTTCATAATTACGTTTTATCTGTCTTCACTATACTAGGATCTGAAAGAATTGCTAAATAACTAGTGTTCTGGTTGACGTGAGGGATTAACCAATCAAATGGTGTGTTGAGTCAAGTTCTTGTCATCTAGCATGAGGAACTCTGGGTAGACATTTGCCGCGATGGAAAACAAATCAAAGCAAAAATATATCTGAATACCCACTTAAAACACGGGACGCTTATTGGTTAATCGAAGAACTAATGTCATAGGGTCAAAAGATGCTTGCATGACCGCTGAAGCGACCTCCCACTACAACCGGTCAAATCTTTATGTTATGGAAGCCATCGAAAGTATAAAAAAACAAAACGAAATATGTAGTGGAAGCCATCGAAAGTATAAAAAAACAAAACGAAATTAATCAGACTGGTAATAAACAACACAACACAAAATTAAAGCTCAAAAATAATTTATTAAACAGTTAATAAATACTTTCAACATTTAAATTCTACGATGGGTCGCTAACAGTTGGAATTCACTTATCTATTTAAAACAACTAGTATTACAACCAAAACATTTAACTTTAATATACGAAGGAAAACAACAATAATATGACCAATATACAAATGAAAGGGAAAATATGATAGTGGTAATACAGTTCTACAAAATAAAGATTTAAAGATGCATGATGTAAGAGATAAATCTACCTATTGGTCTTTCTTTAGGCCAGAAATGTTATATAAACTATTAATTAGACATTTATTAACATGAGAAGACCATAATCAATGCTTGTTGCCATTGGATACTTGAGATTTTAACAGGATTAAACGGTTCGGCCATTTAGTTATTTAATTTAAAAATGGGGAAACGAGGTTATCTTCGAATATAACAGTACCGTGGTTACTATAATACATAATCTTGTCAAAACTACAAACAGTGACAACTTGGCTCAGAATAAAGTAATTTGAATGAAATTTTCAATATATTCATTTTGATTTATCTATTTTTGAACTATTATAGCAAGATTGGCCAGCTCTTTATCTAAATCTTACATAATGTATCTTTAAACTATCTTGTTAGCGTCATTCTTATTTTAAAATACTGAGAAGCATATTTAATTATTTATGAAATATTTAAATCGTTGAGTCTCTGTTTTACATTAATATAATGCACAATAATTCTGGTATTAAGATATTGATATACAAATTCAACGTGTCACGATTGGTATTTTTGAACCGGGACTAAATAACAAATATCTACATTGTTTACAGTTAGTATCTATGGTATTATATTGATGTTCGAAAGTAATTGAAATATCAATAACCATGGTTAACAGTGGGAGAAAACCGGAGGACCCAGAGAAAACCCACGAGGATGGACAGACTACCCTACTCCTTGTCACGTACAACCAAGGAAATGAAACCCGCCAGTTGACTCAATGACAGACCTAATTATTCAGTGCACAAGCGCTAACTCAACATTAAACCCCAAAATCTTTAAAGAGAATTGAAATTAAAATTCAAGAAAAACTTCTGGATGTGGGTCCTGTTTTCTATAAATCTTTGAATTCAGTGGATTTCTGTCTGATAAAATCCTAGTGGATTTTTGTGAAAGAGACAGAGAAATGGGGTTTAAAGTCCACTCGACACAAACTAGGTCATTTCGGGACTAACACATGGTACAATTTTATTTCAATAATTCGCTTGTGCGTAGGGGTCTTTAGCAGTGGAAGGAAACCAGAGGACCTGGAGAAAACCCACGAGGTTGGGCAGGCGACCCTACTCTGTGTCATGTACAACTGAGGAATCAAAAACTCAATGACAGACCGTTTGATACAGCACGCACATGCTAACCATTCGGCCATCCACCCAACAGATTTTTATGAGAATTGGGATAATGTTTTAGACCGATTATAAGCAGACCTATAAAAAACGCCCAAACCTCTTACTACCACATCTCAAAAACTTTTAAATTGTTACATTAAATACTCAAGGTACAAAAAATAAACATGGCCAGGAGTCAAATCTTGAAGAAAATGGTTGGTTAAAATTGTTGATAATCCTCAGCAAATTCTGTAGATTAATTCCATGTACTGTGCAGACTGTGCAGGTATAATACACCAGTTAAGAAGCCAGCATCAACTGTAATCTGCGCTAAAATCTTTTGATGAACCTTTTTTGAATTCTAAAATATGAAGAATTTGCCCAAATAGCTTGCCTAAATTCAGCCCAGATCAATCAGAAGTTTTCGGTGGATTTGCATAATGGGCTTAATTAACTATAGCTTAGATTGTAGATAGGATCATTTAGGCACTTACAAGGTAGTGTTGAATTTGGAGACTTATGGCCAACTAAATGTACTTGTGATACCGTAACAAAGTTAGTATTTCTGAGAAAGTGTACCACAGAGCTTTGGATATTTGTACAGGACTAAGATGAACATTTTTAACTACATGTAGTTTTCCACAATGAATTAACCCATTTGATTGAAAACACCAGGGACGACCCCTTCATTACTAGAATAAAGTCAATTTGAACCCCCTTCTATGAATGGCACCTTGAATATGTTTTAGCACAGCCTTCTACATTACACTTCAAACGGTTTTTGTTTGTTAATGAATTAATTCATTGTTATATATAGCATATTATTGGTAAATAGCACAATTTACAAATAGTCTGTCATACCAAATAAAGGGACGGCTCCTTTGATATAATCGATTTTACCCCCCCCCCATCTCTGAATGGCACTTTGATATAGTCGATTTTAACCCTCCCATCTCTGAATAACACATTAATATTATGATATAGTCGATTTCAACCCCCCCAATCTCTGAATGGCACTTTGAGTCTGTTTTTCTACATTCCGCTCTTAAAACAGTTTTTGCTTGTTTAATAAATTAATTCATGGTTGATAGTTTCTTCTACATTACGCTCATAAATAGTTTTTGTTATAAATGAATTCATTGTTGATAAGTTTCTTCTACATTACACTCGTAAACAGTTTTTGTTTGTTTAATAAATTAATTCATTGTTAATAGTTTTACATTTATTAAACAGCAATTCAACTTGATGATTGAATTCCATTCTGTTCCTCTATATTGTATTTCTCAACGGTTTAATCATGAAAGTCTTGTTTCAAGTTTATTTTAATCACAGACATGTTTGATCAACTAGCCATATGGTTTTATTTTTTTCTGAATGATTTCGATGAACAGTCATCATGGAGCTGACGGGCACTGAATATGGATAAACTTGTCCCAAGCAAGGTCAATAAAATGGCCGACTTTGCTATCCACGTTCCCGATTCTCTTGGAACTTGCGATACCTCATCCTCCTGAAAAGAAAAGAATATTTACAGTGCGTGAAACTAAGCTTAATTAATCAGCTGATCATAATTTAAAGATAGATTATGGGAGATTAGATAAGGAACTGGCAGTTCTGATTATAATAGTTAAAAACTAGATAATCTAAAGGCTATTTGCTGAAAATTTCAGTCAAATTGATCCACTATGAACTGAGATTTTAGCGACTGAATTTTCCGCCTAGCCTTGATCACCATTACTACATTACCATTCGGTAGGATATAAAACATAGTCTCGATTATCCATTTAATAATTAAATTATGAATGGAAGTCGAACAGCAAATCGGAACCTAATCCGATAAACATCGCAGGCTAGCGATGCCATCAAGAGTTAATTATGGTCTGGATAAGTTAATTAATGTCAAATTAATAATTTAGATAACATTTGAGGCCTAAAGAAAGACCTGCAATAGGCAGATTTAGCTCTTGCATAATGTATGTTTAAGGGACTGGGGAATCCTTTCCAAACTACAATATTGTAAAAGTTGAATCTCTAAAATACCAGTCTAAAAATGGTTCAGTTCTGTTCAGTATTAACAACGATATGATAAACTGAAAACCACAGAACATTCGTCATCTTCTGAAGATGATATAAGAGAGAGAGAAATGGGGTTTAACGTCCACTCGACACAAACTAGGTCATTTCGGGACTAACATATGGTTTAATTTTATTTACATAATTCGCTTGTGCGTAGGGGTCTTTAGCAGTGGGAGGAAACCGGAGGCCCCGGAGAAAACCCACGAGGTTGGACAGGCGACCCTACTCCTTGTCACGTACAACCGGGGATTCGAAACCACGCCAGTCGACTCAATGACAGACTTTATGATACAGCGCGTGAGCACGCTAACCATTCAGCCATCTAACCCCCCACCATGATATAAACAAGTTTAGTCATTTGGATGGGATGAAAAGGTCCTGTGTACACATTGGTGTGCATGACAGTTGGAATTCGATATAAGAGTAGGCCGTAGTGCCGCTGTCCAGGTAAAATTTACGTCATAGCACACTGTATGGCGTATGCCCGTCTATATTAGCCCAGTCGGAGTAGAACAGTAGGACATTAAAACTCCATTCGGAGCAGGACAGTAGGATGTTAAACCCCATTTCATTTCATTTATAAACAAGTCAGTGCCACCTATAATTGTTAGGTAAAATCTTTTGATGGGTCTGTTTTTTATTTGCGATCCCTGCATTGGCTGAGAAAGTTCATCCAGATTTTCCGGTGTGGTTTTCCCTTGTCAGTGATGCAGGACAGAGGGTCTGACCAGGGCAGCTGTCTAGTCATTCGGATGAAACGAAAAACCGAGGTCCTGTGTACACATGGGCGTGCATGTAAAAGACGCCTTGACAGTTGGAATTTGATATAAGAGTAGGCCGTAGTGCCGTTGTCCAGGCAAAATTTCCCTCATAGCACACTGTATGGCGTATGCCCGTCTTCATTAGCCTAGTTCGGAGCAAAACAGTAGGACATTAAACCCCATTTCATTTCATTTCGTTTTTTATTTGATCGAATTCCAGCTGGAAGATTATCTACCGTTGACATCTTGTTTTATTAATTAAATGTTAAATAAACAATCTGAATACATTTAAGCTTAGTCTGAAAAAATGCACAATGTGGATCGGGGATATCTGTCTAAATACAATATTGTTTGGAAACTGGGACAGACAAATCTTTTATGGCATAGATCATGGAATAGTCCAAAATAATTACCTGGGCAAGTCTAAGGAGGGGTAATCCTGTTTTAGAGAACCGCCGATTAAAAACCAAACTACCAACTTTCGAAACTGATGAACTATTCATTTTTTCTGTTTCTGATATTTTTTTTCTGAAAAAAAAAAAAAAAAATGATAGAGACAGAGTCATTGTTTAGTCAAATAATATTTGGCACTGGTTCTGAATAATAATATTTTGCAGACACAGTGGCTCAGCGATTAAGCAACTCGTTCACTAACCAGGAGGATTTCTGGGTTTGATCCTTGTGTAGGACAGAGTGACTTGAAAGGAACAATATCTAGTTGTTTGGATGGTACAAGAAAATGTGGTTACATATATATATATATATATATATACACATTTGCTTGCACATGAAAGAAACCTAGACAGTTCAGATTCATTGCAAAGCACACTGCATGCACATTTTCATTAGCCCACTTGGTGCAAAAAAAGTACAGGCCCCAATTATGTTAAAGTAGCTAAGTCCGTAAATCAATATCATCCAAGATCTTTGACATTGAAAACATGAATTGTTTTGCAATTTAAATCAGCATTGGTGTTGTGGTCTTACCTGGAAAAGATGGGCTTCTGATATCCAATATTTAAGACAAAATAAACATTTTACCATTGGTACACAAATCGTGTACCATAATAATGCGTTTCAGCGCCATTTGAAACAAGGGACTCAAAGAACGCAGCTCAACATATTCCACAAGTCATGTCAAATGGTTGCGCAATATTCTTATCTGGAGAGTATGCGCAATAAATACTATTGGTACAGACTGGAATAACCAGATGCTAAAGATTGCCATTCAATTGAGACTTCTGTCATATTTCGCCGAACATAACTGATTAGAAATTACAGTAAAAACAGAAACGGTTTATATACATTCACATTACATTATTATATGCGTTGCGACCAATATGTGTCAATTTCTAGGTACCAAATATTAGCGATTTTGCTCCTTTAATGTAAGGTGTGAAATACCATTCCATTTTATTTAATTTCAAGATACACAATGTACATGATTCGGCTGATATTAGCATGTTGGGAAAATAGATGAATGCCAGAAAATAATTAAATGGTGAGTAGTTAGTTAGTTAGTGTTAGTTGTATTTTACGTCCGCTTCCACCGAGGTGATATCGCAGACAAGGTGTTGGTGAGTAGTTGAACATGAGATCTATATAATGGCAACAATATTTCTCTGAATACACATACATGCACTGTCAATGATGCAAAAATGCCAACACGTGCTCGAAGCGTGATTGAACCCATGTGACATTGACAGTCTAGACTGTACGGTTTCTCATTCAGTAAATGAAAGTTAAAATTCAACCATTTAGTGAAATATGAACAATCGAAATTAAAAAAATGTAGATTCTGTTTTCGGAATAATTAGACCCAGTTTTAAATTTACTAATTAATAAAAATCACAAAAAAAACCTCAGAAATTAAATTGGTTTTGTTCAAAACAGGCGCAGTGTCGATCCGATTCGCAAAATGTTTTCTTCGTATAAAAGATATAGTAGTACATAAAACTTGTTTAAAATCAGTAATCCAATTCATCAATTATCAATCAACTGATTTATTTTCATTATACATTGTATAAATAATAAAGAATACTCACACACTACAAGTTTAATCAGCACTTTGCCGAAAGCATGACCTTAGCCGTCGTCCATGTTGTTTAAAAGACCTTCACCTTGATTTGACCTTAAATTCCAGACTCGTTTAACCAGTTCCTGTTTTGATTTTTAAGACGAAGAAAAAGTTGACGCCCCTTTTAGCATCCCATATTTTTCTATTTTTTTTTTTTTTTTTTTTTTAGAAAAAAATTTATTTATTGTTTTTTAAATTTTCACCCAAGTCAATTTTAATTTAATTTGTTTTTTGTCATTTTCACCCAAATCAATTCTAATTTTCACCCAAAAGGGAATTAAAATGTTCTCGGGTGAAAATTCAAGAAAATAAATTAAATCAAAAATTACTTGGGTAAAAATTAGAAGAAAAAAAACAGATTATGTTAAAAATTGGGGGATCACGTGGCTAAGTGGGTAAGACGGTTTATTCCCACGAAGGCGCAGTTATTGACCGTAACGGATTAAACGAGGTTGTTTTTCGACGACTTCGTGGGAATCCAGCTCCTAAGGATTAAAATGGATTAAAATCGTAACAATGGTGTTATAGATTGTTATGATAAGAATTTACACTTTCATAATTCCCAATGTAACTAATTAACCAACATTTTAGCATCATTCTTGGCATAAGAAATCAAAACATAACTACACTATGACAAAAATTAATTTAATTTCGCCAAATAAGACACCCTGTCTAAATACTCGAACTAAGTCAATACCTCTTCCTCGTGTCTTCCTTTTAATTCCTGGAGCTAGCTTTGGATTTGAGCATATTTATATCTCTTCCTTGGTGGTTAATATTTTGTTCTTGTTGTAAAAATGTGATCATTTCAAAAACATTCGGATGGGCTTTTCCAACTAGCTTCTTGATTCTTGCATGCTATCCTTCCAGAGTGTTGTTGGTTCAGAGTGAACATAAATTCATAAAATCTTTAACACCGTTAATTGGGTCCTAATAGCAACGTTCCTCTCTTCAAACGAAAGCCGACAAGTCCATAACTGCGCCTTCGTGGGAAGGATTAATTTTGGTCACGCTCTGTAACTGCGCCTTCGTGGGAATACACCGGTAAGACGCTGACTCGCTAGCCTGGAGGTCGGGTGTTCGATCCCTCCATTGGCCGAGAAAGTTCATCCAGATTTTCCGGCGTGGTTCCCCCTTGTCAGTCAAGCAGGACGGAGGGCCTGACAGGGACAGCTGTCTAGTCCTTCGGATGAGACGAAAAACCGAGGTCCCATGTATATATTGGGATACACGTAAAAGATCCCCTGGCAGTTGGAATTCGATATAAGGGTAGGCGATAGTGCCGCTGCCCGGGCAAAATTTCCCTCATAGCACACTGTATGGCGTATGGAATTCGATATAAGGGTAGGCGATAGTGCCGCTGCCCGGGCAAAATTTCCCTCATAGCACACTGTATGGCGTATGCCCGTCTTCATTAGCCCAGTATAGGAGCAGAACAGTAGGACGTTAAACCCCATTTCATTTCATTTTATGTTGAAAATTACTCAAGTGAAAATTAAAATTGGCTGGGGTGAAAATTATCGAAAACAAATTATATGAAAATTACGGTGGCTGATTTAGGACACGCAAAAAAAAAAAAAAAATATCTCGAGCGCTCGAGATACTAAGTCGAGCGCTTGAGATACTAAGTCGAGCGCTCGAGATAATTTAATCGAACACGGGTCAACCGATGTTTTAATCTGTATAATTTTGTGCATTATTTAATTGTAAACTTGCAGAATAAAGATATTCATTTGTTCGTTTTTACAGCCTACCCAAAGCTGCAGTGACGGAGCGCCCCCCCCCCCACACCCACACACCCACCCATACACACTCCATGCCATGCTCGTCACCACCACTAAATATTTCCCGTTATATATATTTGCCCCCTTCCAAGTAGGGAGTATTTCGCATGTTATTATACGAACCCATAATTATATATATCGAGGTTACAGAGTTTTGCTAGGAGAGACTGACATTTCCTCTTATCAAGAAGCGCAGATCTGATCCAAGGTTATTTATTTCATATGTAGGAACTGATCATTGCCTAATTTACCCTGGCGCAATTGGCGCGATCGTGCCGGGCTTCTACATTAAATCCCCGCGCCCTACATGCCGTAATTCTCAATCGATCATCTTGAAAACCTTTCATACTTATTCCTTATACCCTAAAGATGACCTCTATTATTTTTTGGTGCATGTCTGACCCCCTGGGACAGGGCGCAATTCTTAACAGATCCTTTTGAAGCTTTGCATACCTATTCATTATACCCTAAGGATGACCCCTATTGGTTTTTTTCATGGAGGTGTATATATTGATATATATATACCTCTATGGTTTTTTTGGGTGATTGCATGGCCCCCAGGAACAGCGCCACACCCATTTTTTCTTTGTGTATCCGTGTGTTGCCTACAGGCCAGGATTCTTAATGGATCGTCTTGGAACTTGGCAAATGTATTCCTTATAGCCCAAAGACGACAACTGCATGTCCTGACCTCCAGGGGCAGAGCCACGCACATTTTTTGTGTTTACCGTATACAGGCCGCAATACTGAATGGATCAGCTTGGAACTTGGCATATTATTATGTATTCCTTATGGCATAAGGGCGGCAACTGTTGATTTTGGGCGCGGGAGGGGAGGGGGTGAATGCACGATCGCGCCACTTGCGCCAGGGTAAATTAGGCAATGAACAGTTCCTACACATATGAAAGATATAACCTTGGATTAGACCTAAGCTTCTAGATAAGAGGAAATGTCAGCCTCTTAGCAAAACTCTGTAACTTCGATATATAAAATTATTGATTCGTATAATAACATGCGATATACTCCCCACTTGGAAGGGGGTAAATATAACGGGAAATATTTAGTGTTGGTGATGAGCATGGGATGGGGTGAGTGTGTGTGTGTGTGTGTGGGGGGGGGGGGGCGCTGGATGGGCTGTAAAAACGAACAAATGAATATCTTTATTCTGCAAGGTTATAATTAAATAATGTACAAAATTATACAGCTTAAAACATCGGTTGAGACGTGTTCGATTGTATTATCTCGAGCGCTCGACTTAGTATATCGAGCGCTCGACTTAATATCTCGAGCCCTCGACTTAATATCTCGAGCGCTCGAGATATTATTTTTTTTGCGTGTACTAAATCAGCCAACTTTTAAAATTGACTTGAGTGAAAATTAAAAAAAAATAAATGAAAATTATTTTTCGTGCCTCTAATCAGCCATCGTACTTGGAATAAAATAAAACCAAGTACGAACAATCCAAACCATAAGACAGAATTCGAAGTCCTAAAAAACGTTATAGGCAAAATAGTGTATTCGAGCTAAATAGTGTAATAAGCAAATGGACTGCTCCTCGTGTACAAAATACACGACAAACAGTGGTAACAGGTGTCCGGAAGAGTAAGCTTACCATCCGTTACAATTTAATATTCAGTCGAAAAACCACCCCCTTTTAATATTTTTATAAGATGATCATGGCATTTTTTTGTTTTGTTTTATAAAAATCAAGATCACTGGAAAGTTCAAAATTAAGTTTCCGTCTAGCCCATGATTTTAACATTGAAGTTTAGATAGAGAGAACTATGGGTCTGATCCCTAATACAGAGACTGTTTTCAAACAGGAGTTGTATCCCTTTAATTAACGGACGGTAACGTCTAACGGGTTAAATAAACAGTAAATAAACGATCAGCGCCTGGATAACCGAACAATTTATCGCTTGACATGGCGGCTAGATTGGTGGATATTTGTAAAAGCGCGGTCACTTACAGCGTTTAAAAACCGCTAACAACTGAAAGATAAACAGTTATTTTAACGGATTAAGGTGAGTTTCATTTACATGTTTAATCTGGAACCGTTAATTAATCGAATCATTGTAGATGATGGGATAAGTGTTGAAAATAAACATTGGTTTCCACTGAAATTTACAGAAAAATAGAAAGTTGCACTCTGGGCACCATGAAAATGCCAATTTACTACTTTCGCCCGCTTCGGCTTTTGTTACGCACATTTTTGTTTGACACTTTCTTTACAGCTTACTTTATAATCATAATAGCCACAACAACTACATATGTTTTGTACATACCAGCACGTTCTTTAATAAGCTTATAGCATAGGCCTACCATGCGCTTTTTATTTATTTTTCGTCCGTCTTCATGGCCTTATTTATATGTTATTTGGCCTATCCTATCCTATGCTAGTATTAGTAGTATCCTAATTAATTTACATGCTGCCAGAAAATGATGTTTTATGTAAACTGAATTGAATATTCAAATAGATACAGGTAATATTCAAATAGTAAAATCATCATCCATGTACCCACTATTTTGGAAAGTGAATCTTTGTGAAAATTCTTGAAAACTCTAAATCATTCAAGATTCGGGAAAATGAGCTTTATTGTTTTTTTTTTTCATGTCTAGTACTAGTAGGTAGACAACCCTCAAAATAATAAAAATGCTAGGGACATTTTTACCAAGATGGCAGGCAATGCATGCTAATTTTCTTTGTTGGTATTCAGGTACGGTAGAGGTTGCTAGTCTCATAGTCGTATTAAGATAATTAAATTGGTTTATCAAGTGAAAGGATTGTTTAGATAATACCTTGATTAAACAAATATTATAGATCTTGTTGTCCAGCTTGGACCCTGGACACTGTGTACACCTACTGTCCTTGAATGATAATACTGGACACTTTGTTATTTATTGATTAATGTCTGGTGTTGGTTGTGATAAAATGTAATTGTAAGAAAACATTGGTGGAATTAATTACACTGTCGGTTTAAGTAAACTGTATGTTAGATAAGACAAAAAAGGGGGGGGTGTCGGGGTGGGGGGAGAGAGAGAGAGATGGGGTTTAAGGTTCACTCGACACAACTAGATCATTTCGGGACAAACATGGTTCCAACCCGGCCATGTAGCATAGAGACATCACAACGTGTAAATCAGGGGTGTAAAACTCATTCGATTCCGGGGCCATATGAACTAATATTTTACAACAAGTAGGTCGAAGATATACAAAAATATCAAGATAAAAATTTTTTTATTGATTTATTTGACTAACA